ATGATAGTGGAACATACATATAGTCATCATTGATGAGTGGAATGGAGTGAAAGGAAAAGAGAGAGAAAGAGAAAGTGATAGGATGGATACAAATCTGGAATACTTTGTTAATTTCTGAGTTACCTTCAGTCGGCTGGCTTGATTTCAGAAAGGAATCGACAGAAAATTTTACTTGGCAAATTTCCCTAGAAAATTAGTTTTCTCTTTGTGAATACCAAATTCTGTTTTACTCCACGAGCATTGGGTATAAAATATAAGCTTCTTGGCTATTCCATACACTTCCATAAACTATTTTTCCAATTTCTTACCCTCTCTATAGCCATGACAGCTGTGCATCCATACATGCATACATATGTGTGTGTGCATGTCTTTAACCGTATGCGGAATTAAGTTATCTTATTTCCATTCTTTATTCGGTTCCTGTAGATTTTACCAATCAAAAGTTTCTCGAAAATGAATTTCCAAAACCAAACCTAAACCCAAAAATGTGTAACTCAATACTAATATTTAAAGATAATTCTCTCGTAGCTGAAGAAATATACGCACATATGTATGTATGTACATACATATGTACATATGTCAAGCACTATTCACTGTTCATAGCGAAATCATTTTCAGGCAAAACATTTATTCGGATCTGTAATCCCGTGAGGTAATTTAATAAGTGCCACGTCTAAATTTGAAACTTTTTTCTGAATTTTATTTGTTGCTATAACATAGAAATTGATAGAACGGGTGGGGGAGGCGGGCACACGTGTATGAATAATTTGAGATTATTTTTGACTGTGTGGGAATCAAAAAGTTCCCTAATTTTGAAAGTTTTCATAAGTTTGCTCTGAGGTAGAGACGAACTATTTGTAGATATGTACTCGGATACCTTTACATAGGAGTGACCTTCAATTATGGGATCACCCCTTCCTTTGGGTGGAAATAGAGAAATAGAGAAGGGGAGGGAGCAACCAGTCTTTGATCCCGTGGAGGCTGGAGATGACATCTCAAACGCTTCGGCACCTCCTCGTACTCCTACCCTATCCACTCAGAGCAAGTGCAGTCTTTATCTAGCTAAATTCTGAGACCCTGCTCAATTGCTCCACAGATCTTGAATATCCCAGACTCTGGCTTGGCTTGGCTGTGGCTGGGGCTGGGGCTGGGGCTGGGCTGGGGCTGGGCCACTTAGTCTAACAGTAATGGATGCTAAACGCTGTCTCGTTTTGGGAAGCCATTGAGGCTGCTGTCGAGGCTGATTGCTGACAAGTTAATCAACAGTAGCAGGAGCAGTAGCAGCAACAGCATAAGGCATTCTCCCCATCTCCCTTACCCTGGATTTCCATCCATCCATCCATCCATTCATCCATCTATGTATATGTATGTATACTTGAGCAGATATAATACCCGACACTGTCTATGGCCATGCCAGCTAATCTGTACTCCCCCGCTCTCTCTCTCTCTCTCTCACTCTCACTCACTCTGTCAAATGTGTTGTGTATCTGTATGTAGATACTCATATGCACCCGCATGCCTGTGAACAACAATACTTATCTGGGGGAAACGGCCCTGAACTTTGGGCGAGATCAATTTGCACTGTCACGAATTGGATTGGAAATGCGAAATGTGTCAAAATAGTTCTCAGCAACACAAATAATATCAACTCAGGCAAGGCAACGGAACAACAAGCCCACAGCGTTGTGAGAGACACGCTATGGCCATTGAGATCTGCCCTCAGCCCTCTGCCTTCTGCTCTCTAAATGGCAGATCATTGTTTAGTGGGAATTCTATGGGAATTCTATGCTTGCAGTCCTTATCTCTTTCAGATTTGTGGGACCGGTCGTCATAAATTGGTTGACTTGATTGGTCCCTGTGACGATTGAGTCTGGCTTCGATTGCACCAAAAGAAGTGCTTTAGATAACGAAAGTCTCAATCTGAATCAGAGCTGTGCTCCTATCGCTTAAATGTTGTTTCATTGTTTGTGCATTTTCCATTCTCTATTCTTATCTGAGGATTGCTTCTCTAAAAAGACATTTGTTTCCTCTGAACTGGAAATTCTCAACAATTCATTCTGTCAGAATCCCAGCAAGGCATATGGGGGTGGGGTGGGGTGGGGTGGCTTGTGCTTTTACTCTGCAACTTCTTCTGCTAGAGGCTTCTGCTGGCAGTAAAACTCAGAGGCCAGTGCCTCTGTAGTGCAGAAATAGTTCGTGGCTGAATCATCCATAAAGCTGAAAATAATGGGGTCGCTCTGGTGTCTCTCAGTGCACGGCTCGTACTCGTACTCGCACACGCCCTCTTACATATTTAAGTTTTGGCCAGTTTTTAGTTGGAGGGGCATGAGCCCAAAGCAAACATTAACATTTTTATGCATTGCAATTTGAAAATGTAAGTGGGTCGCATATGCCCCCTCCCCACCCTGTCTTCGGTTCGGTAGATTGATCATCGTTCGGACATGCCACTTATAGATGTACATATGTATGTACATATGTACATATGCATGTGTGTATATGGAAGGTACCGGGGTATGGTATCCACTCCACTCCACTCCACTCCACACTCCCCCCTTCAGTCTTCATTCCAAATTTGATTTATTTGCGTTCGTCTTCGTGCATTTTAATTGTGTTTGTTGTCAAATTGTTGATTTAATTGCCCCCCGACGCGCCGATCTAAAATGCAAATTGAATTTTTGTGCTTCTACTTATTGGCTATTGGCTATTGGCTGTTGGCTATTGGATATGGATATGCCCGATCGACCGTGATCTATGGCTATGGCCCTTAGCGCCTCTTCCTCCATCCGCCACTTGACTTGCTAATTGAAGGTTCTTTTATGGCATAATTATTTAGAAATTATATTTACGAGTATTTTGGCTTTGTATTTTCGGCGCAGAAAGAAAAAGTACTGCACCGATGCAGAGCTCTATGCGAGCTGCTTTCTCTCAAATATATTTGCATTTATATATGTAAGTATTTCTCGCACTGTACCAGATGACCTCCGTCACTCCCTCACTCCCTCATTCATCACTCATCGCTACCCGCTTCCCGCTTCCCACTTCCCGATTCAGAGCAAGCATTGATAAGCTGATAAGTCGGTAAAGATGACAGTAAAGCCAAGATCCAGCATGATCCCATGAAACTGTCTATAAAGATATCTGAAGAGAACACAGAGGGACTTACATATATGTATACACACAAATGAAAGTACATACATGCACACACGTACGAGCATACATACTAGTACATATGTATGTACGAGCATGGCGATGAAAAGTCAGTCAGTGTCGGTTGGTGCCCATACTCGTATTTGAAGGACTGTAGCATATCTTCCTATGCATATTTCAGCTTAAAGTTTGGAAACTCGATATCAGTCAATCGGCTCACGTAGCTAATAATGACAATCTATTCCGATTTTCAATCGGTTGTCGTTCCGAATTTGTCTTTGGGGGCGCTGCGCATGCGCCAAAACCAACATCCGTCCAGACGGATCAGACAGCTGAAGAGAAGGAAGCGGAGAAGCAGTAGGAACAAAAGGTGGAACGAAAATATTGGTCCGGCTTCAGATAGGAATATCCAGACTAATATTAAAAATAAAAAGTGGAAAGTGGAAGTGGATAGATGAGAGGAGGAACAGTAATTCCCAGTATTTTCTGCTCGACATGGCATCGCTACTCGAATCGGGTTCAGTGCGCCCTTTTTCTGTAGGGGGTGGGCGCATTTGGGAGGATCCGGTGGGTGGGTCGTAAACCCAAACTGCATTCCGCGTGCCCCGTAATTGTTGCCTGCTGGTTCATGCGGCCACTGCGAGCGACCATTTAACGAGAATGAAATGAAATTAAATGCAGGTGACCTAAAAATGCAACAAATGCCTGCCAAGTGCCAAGTGCCATGCCATGCCATGCAACAAAAGCTGCACCACCAACAGCAGCCCCAGCCACAAAGTACATGCTACACATGCATTCCTGTTAAAGGGTGCCCCAGTGCCGGTTGCCGATTTTCGAGTTTTGTAATTTTGAATTATAACTATAAATATTTAGAATTATTCAATTATTCATTATTATTCGTTTCTGCTTCGAATACCAATAGCAAGGGTCGTCAGTGACTCCCCAAACAGCTATTGGGCTGCAGCACCCTGTACTGCCCTTCCTCCAAAGCAAGTGCCGTCATCAGCAGCAGCAGCAGCAGCAGCAGCAGCAGTGCGAGTATCGAGCAGCTGCAGCGCTAACAATTACAGCGTGGCTCAGGTCAGGTCTGGGGCCGGGTCCGGGTCCGGGACCGGGTCTGGGTCTGTGTCTGGAACCGGAGCAAAGGTCCGGCCGGCCAGCTTTGATGGCTTGTCCGTGGCAATTAACCCAATTTCTGAGTGCAAAGACTCCGCCGCGAAACCACCCATTGGGAGTACCCATAGAGCCAGAGTCCACGCAAGGTTGCAATCACAACATTCAATTATGGTTATGGCCGAAACAACAAATGAAAAGCGCAGGAAAATGCATTAAAGGCGATTGCGGCCTGCCTCTGCCTCTGCTGCCTCTGCTGCTGCTGCTGCTGCCTCTTCTCTGTTTCTGTTTTGTGTTTCTGCTCTGCTGTGCTGTGCTGCCAGCTTCGACGCTGACGTGTGCCTGACCCATTTTCAGAGCGGCACGCCCTCCCACCCACACCCACACTCACGCACACACACACACACATATGTGCATGCACATACATACAAAATTACATATGTAGACCACATCCTGCCATCAAAGCTGCCGATGACGACAGGGCTGTCGTCGTCGTCGTCGTCGTTGTAGTTGTCGATTGTTGAAAGAGTCTGAAAACTGTTGTGGGGGGCGTGTTGGGATTGGGGTTGGGGTTGGGGATTGTTTTCGACTGATGGGGGATGGCAGCTGGCTGCTGGCTGCTGAACGCGAACTGAAAGTGATTTCAGTGTGCTGCGGGACCTGCTGGCGAAAACTGTTGCATACTCTCGGGCGCGTACAGGCATTAACTGTTGCTTTCGTTTCCTCTCTTCCCTCTTCAGCAGTACACCAGCAGCTGCACCGGCACCGGCACCGACAACAGGAACTGCAACTGCAACTGCAACTGGACACGGAGCAACAGCAGATGCGCTCAAAATGGTGCACCACAGCAATGAAGATGCCATGAACAAGATTCCCCTGAAATCGGCCAGTGGCCTGGACTCCGATGAGGAGAAGAATGGCGGTGAGCTGATGCAGGACACCGCCGCGGCTGAGGAGGCGAGACGCGAACAGATGTGAGTGAACAAAAAGACATAAGAAAGTGGCGCTGTAGCGGGAAATGCACATTCAAACCTACAGATGAACAGATGTAGATATGTTTGTTCATTGTATAACTAAAATATGATTATGTTCGTTTCGCAGGCGGGCCAAGCTGCTGGCCTGGATGAAGAAGCTGACCATTGTGCTCATCTGCTTCATTGGCATTGCTCTGATCAGCTACGTAATCATCAGCCTCTGCTTCAGTGGTGAGTACAGATCTCGAGCAGGTCGTTGGGTGGGCAGGAGGAGAGAGGATCGAGAGGATCGAGGATCGAGGCAATTCACACCCAGCTAACAAAGTCACTCACCCAAGGCAAACTAAACCACACTCAGACCATATACAGATACAGATACAAACAGACAGACAGACAGACAGACTGACACTTTCGTTATCGTTATCGTTATCGTATCGTTGCTTTCTCTGCATGTTCCGATCCATTCTAACCAAGCACCAGGCATTTAATCAAGCTCAAAATAATTTCTTCTATTGTGGCACCAAAAAGTATTCACATGAAAAAAAACCAAACGTAAAACTTTACACCCTAACCTCACCTAACTACAACTGCAACTACAACTGCAACTGCAACAACGAAGACTGGCCCAAATCTACGCCACATAGAAACAGCACCACAACAGCAACAGCAACAGCAACAACAATTGTTGCAACAGCAGGCACAAGCACAGAGGCAACAGCAATAGCAATAGCAACAGCAACAGCGACAGCAGAAGCAACAATTAAAATTGCAAGTAGCACGGCACCAGCAACTACAACAGTTGCCACAGCAACAATTAGCACTCCAACTACATCAGCAAATACGGTTTTTGAAAGCACTGCAACACCACTACAACCACAACCACCACCACCACCACCAACTACAACTACTGCAACTACAACAATTGCAACAATAGAACCAACAGCAACAACAAGCACAACAGAAAGCCAGCCTAGCCCCCAGACACTTAAAAAATTTACTTTGACAGATGAGCAGCCGCAGGAACAGCACGGGCATCAGGAGAAGGCTGGCAATCTCAACCTGCTGGATGGATCGATGGGCGCCACAACCCCTGCAGAGGACACACTGCCGAATGTGGCCGCCTCAACGTCGGCGACAGCGGCTACGCCCACTGTCGTTGCGGATCAGGTTGAAATCGATATCAGCGAGAATTTCGACTCCATTCTGGGTGTCTACCAGAAAGCGGCCGTGAGCTCGGACAACCTTAAGTGCAGCAGGATCGGCAGGTGAGAGGTCGAACTGACAAATCCGAGGAGTGTGCTCCATCGAGCACACTGGCTGCATGGCACTAGTCGTGCATAAATATAGCCCTCAATCACTTCATTGACTTGTTCTCCCCCCCCAGCGACATACTATCACGGAACGGCAGCGCTGTGGACGCGGCCATCGCCGCTCTTCTCTGCAACGGTCTGCTCACGCTCCAGAGCATGGGAATCGGCGGCGGATTTTTGATGAACGTGTACAGTCGGCAGGAGCGGCACGCCACCTCCATCGACGCCCGCGAGGTGGCCCCTTACGCGGCTGAGGCGGACATTTTCGACAAGAGTCCGGAGCAGTCGTTTAAGGGACCCCTGAGCATCGCCGTGCCTGGCGAAGTAATGGGCTACCATGAGGCACACTCCAGGTTTGGCCAGCTCCCCTGGGCGGAGCTGGTGAAGCCATCGCTCCAGCTATGCGAGACCGGCTATCATGTGTCTAAGCACCTGGAGAAGGCGCTTAACTATGCTTGGCCACAGATCAAGGACCACCAGCACTATCAGTGAGTAAAACTCTCCACTTAAGGTGTGGATTAAATCCATGTATTTTGCATCCAGAATGTATGTGAACAAGGAGACTGGCAAGCCGCAAGCGTCTGGGACTGTGGTGAAGCCGCCGAAGCAACTCTGTGAGTCCTACAAGCTGCTGGCAGACAACGGGCCTCTGGACTTCTACAACGGCACCTTGGCCAAGTTGCTGGTGGAGGATCTGGCGGAGCTGGGCAGCCTCATAACCGGGGATGACCTGCAGTACTATTCCGCCGACGTGGTGCACTCGATAACCATGGAGCTGGGCGAGGACACGTTGTATGTGGTGCCGCCTGTCAGCTCTGGCTCAGTGGTGGCCCATGCGCTCAGTATCCTGCAGGGCTACAACTTTACCAAAGACGATCTGGCGAGTGAGGACCTGCGTGCCCGCACCCTTCATCGGTTCGCCGAGGCCGTCAAGTTTGGCTTTGCCCATCGCTCGGAGCTGGGCGATCTGCACTTCATTGATGTGCGGGAGCTGGTCAGTAAGCTGAATAGTCCGGAGTTTGGAGCGCAAAACCGCGCCAAGATCAACGACAGTCACGTGCTGGAGGGTCCATCGGCCTACGGCGCTCAGTTCGCGGAAAATGGGGACCCCGATGGGACGGCCCACTTGGTGGTCTTGGCCCCCAATGGAGATGCCGTGTCGGTGACCAGCTCGGTCAATTTTTAGTGAGTCGCATTTGGTTTCGGGTTCCCTTCACATCCATCGCTCCATATTCTAATCGGTGCTCATTCTCCTTCGCAGTTTTGGCTCGGGGCTAATTGGACCGCGGACCGGCATCGTTCTGAACAACGGCATGAACGACTTTGCCGTAGAGAACAACTTTTTTGGACTGCCCTTCTCGCAGGCAAACACCATAGCACCCCACAAGCGGCCGATGTCCTCGCAGTCTCCAGTCCTGCTGGCCGATAAGGCGGGCGACATTCGTCTGGCTATCGGAGCAGCGGGTGGCGCTCGGATCATTCCCGCTGTGGTGGAGGTGGCGGCTCGCGTCTTGTGGTTCGGAGAGGACATAAAGACGGCGATAGATGCCCCGCGCGTGTACCATCAGCTCATGCCCGATGTCTTGGAGTACGAGGAGGGGGGCTTCTCCGACTCGCTGCTGCAGCTGCTGGCCAAGCGGGGACACATCCTCAAGTCGATCACCAAAAGCAACATGTCAGCGGTTGTCACGGCCATTGCGAGAAATGCTACGGCGGTCTATGCGAATGCCGACTATCGCAAGCGTGGTGGCGTGGCCGGCTTTTAGAGGCCAAGTGGCCCCAACCACTCGCACACATCCTACACATTCACACACCGCATTGAGATTAGATGGGCAAGAGCAAGAGCAAGAGCAGGAGAAATTGATGGATGGATGGATGGAATGGGGCTCAGTATCAGAATGAGGATCAGTATCAGAATGAGGATCAGAATCAGAATCAGGATCAGCAGCAGCCGCAGCCGCAGCATCAAGTGAAAAGTATTTAAGCTAGCTATGTCTTTTTTTACATACTATGTTAATCGTACGTTACATAAATTTATATGCTACTACCTAACTACTACCTTACCCAATAAACAAAACAAAACAAAACAAAACAACAAACACACACAAAAAATAGTCGCATACAAAGCAGCTAATGCCTTACACGTTAATATTCCGATGGACATCCGAATGTTGACTGAGAGGGACTAAGTGCTTAATATACAAATTCGTTGCTTTTGCTTGTTGAGCCAGTCGCGCAGCTTGCTGAAATATGTTGATGAAACTGTTGATGGTTCTTGTCAGCTGTGCACCGTGCACCGAAGTACACGCGAATTTCTCAAATGTTCATGTGTTTGTTAACCGGTACAATGCATACAGCAGAGCGAATATAATCACAACATTGGACTCTTTGCCAGAGGCGTGGTTCACGACGAAGGTCGTCCTGAACAAGAGGACTCTGGTTGACTACTTCCAGACGAACGCGAGCGAACGCCACGGGGCGTTGTCCTGGTATCGCACAACAAACATACAGCAAACACTTAATTTCTATGGCGTGAAAATAGAGAAGAATCTAACCTACGCAAAGGGTTACCTTCACTTGTCGAGAATAAACTTTTATTCAAGTGGGTTCTACCTTGTTGAGACAGAAATTACAACTGAGGGCATTTATTCCAGTGAGATAACAGCCACGAGCTACACAGTCGTCAAACTAATACAGGGCAACACTTGTGAGCCCAAATTTGATATTCCCAATTGCCACGACTCAAACCGGCCCCTATATTATGAAACATCCAAAGAAATTGTCATACGGGCTAACTTCTCGCGGTTCTGTCCAATGGACACCTTCATACAATACCATTGGACTCTCCACGATAGTACCGATTCGAGTAAGTTTTATTTTAGTTGTTGTTGTTGTTGTTGTTGTTCTGGGAACGCTAAACAATATGAATATTAACAGAACTGTTGGAATTCTTGGGAGCCAGCTTGAGGCCAGAAATAAAACTTTCCCGCCATCGGCTAAGCGTGCGCTACCAATCACCGCTGAGCCGAATAGTTTTGGTGCGCATTAATGCTAAAATTGTGGGACGGCGAATACCACTCGTAGCTCGGGTAACTATCATTATCATTATCATTATCGTTAACTATCAATGAAAGCTTTGCCATTGGTCACTTTCACTATCATCAGTGCTATCTCTCGTTGGCGTCACAACGACTATTTCCCGTTATTCGAGGCGGAAATTATCGAAGAGTGTTCCGTGGCAAAACCATATCAATAAGCGGCAGCCTCAGCAGAGATCTTTCGCTTTCCCGTACAGGCCCCCAACACCTGGTATATATGTGGTCGTGTACCCCAGCCGTGAAGCAACTCAAAAATGTCTGTAAAAAAAATATGGGCACAAGTAAGGCTTAACGGTACAAAACGGTTCATATTTTAATATTTTATAAAATTCCGTGTGTGCTCCGCAGGACATCGCATTATTATTCCCGCATATAGCCAACCGAATAACCAAACCCTGCGCGTAGTACTGCTGATACGCTCCGCATTCGATCCCATCCGCACCGCCACTTCGAGGCAGAAATTGGATTTCTCCAATTTCCCCCATCTGATAAACCTTGAGGTGGCCTGTGTTAAGAACTGCGATGAGGACAAATATGATGCAACGAAACCGATTCTCGTGAAAGGCAAGTGCGAAGGCATCGGCAACAAAAACATTACAAAATGGGAGTGGCGGGTGGGCGACCTACCAGTGAAAGGACATGCAAATAGACTTGTTTATTTTGTACGGGACGTAACAAGAAAGAATATCAGCATTCATCTTCGTGTGACTGCAGCTCATTTGTATAACCCGGCCTACAATTATTATGGAGAAGACTGGATCTTTTTAGAAAAGAACGTTGGCCCTCAAAAATCAAAATGTAGCATAAGACCCAAAGAGGGTCTGGCTTTTGAGACACTATTCATGGTACAGTGCCAAAGAAGTAGGGCTCGCTTCATGCCCCTGCGGTATGGGGTGGAGGCCAACAGCGTTCTTATTATGGATTGGCACTCGACGCGAGAGATATTGGTGCGACTTGTTCCAGCCCAAAGGGTGTTTGTCAAGGTATGTACCTGTACTGTACTGTTGCAGCATGGGTCTGGCATCTTCATGCAAATCTTCCTTGCCACAGATTTGCGATAAGCTTGATGTGTGTGAAAGTGTTGAAATTAAAGTGCGGGTCAGGAAAATGGCCTTGGCAAGTAATAAGCCTCAAATCATAATTGACCATCTGGCTCGGGCGCGTCATTGGCTGGAGTATGCCAACTGGCAGAAGGCCTATCCCCTATTGCACTTACTATCCAAGGAGATACATTCCAAAGAACTTCTTGTGAGCTTCACGGAAACACTTTCCATGCACGCACCCCTATCCACCGTGGAACTTTCGCAACTGGTGCGACTCACCAAGCACGTGGTGACCAGCATCCAGCCACTGGATGACATGAAGGCTGTTGTGCTAGCCAGAATGTTCAACAGGATAACCACTACATACAAATTGATAGTGGAAAGCAACGATCTCACTCTGCTGGACGAACACTTCGACCTGATGACAAACGATATGTGCGATATGCTGGACACAATTAACTCTGAGTGGGAGTACATACCGAAAGCCCACTGTCTCTCGGACTCGGAGTCGTGCATAAACATCAATCACTTCGGCAAGAGACTGGAGCAGTTGTCGTCCCTGCGACCACTCTTGGAGCATGTGGACAGCTGGATGTATACGCACTGGAAATTGAGCAACTGCCTCATTTATATGGGCATGGAGACAGCACGGCGTCTCCACCCTCGCGAGGGCTCCAGAATTGTTCAGAGAAATAGTTTCAACATGCGCATGGAGAGTTTCGATCTGGACTACGAGCACAGTCTCAACCTGGAGTCCGGCGACTCGATGCACACTATAGCCTTTTCGCGAAATCTTATTCGGGAATTGCGGCGAAAGCTTCGCAACAATGAAGTTCTCATTTCTGTTCGCAGTCATACGATCAGCCAGTACTGGTGGTACCCAAAGAAGCGATCGCGAACACAGGAGCTGGTGGTAAATGCCTTCACCACAAGTTCAATGTTTCAGCCGACTGAAGAGCTTTCGGAACCTCTTACGTTTTTCTCAAGGCTTGAAACTACCCCGTTTACGGACATCGCCGAAAGAGATGTCCAGAGCCAACGTCAGGCTGCCCTCGTGGGTGGGCCTGAAGAGGAAGCTCATGCGTTTATTCACGATAATGTCTACACCCCATTCGAAGTTCGAATGTACCGCACCGAAATTTATGCGCACTCAGTTCTTAAGGTGACATTTATCCGAGCGCAAATAGACTTCAACGTGCTGATTCGTATGACAGACGTGCCCAAGTTGGAAGACATGGATATCAGTGGCGCCACATGTCAGGTGAAGTACGGCATTGCGCAGAGAACCAACTTCTTATTGAGAAATCGCTGCGGCGAAGCGCGCTCTGCATTTATTTATCTTCGCGCGTCCAACCCATCCGATCCCTGGGATACCTTTGATGAAAATGGTGCTTTTTTCTCCTTTGGCACAGAGATCCATATCTGCCGCGCCTGGAATTCATCGGGCACCGAGCACAGCTGGCACAATATGCCGTGCATGCCCGATATGGTTAAAAGTACAAACTCCGGCGTACACTGCCGCTGCAATGTTATTGGCGACTTTGATGTGGATGCCATGCCCATCATCACTGTGCCAGTGAACATCAGGTGCCACTTGGATCGGCCGGTGGTGCGCCGCCACTACGACATGCTGGTTCTGTATACGCTGATAACCGTGCTGACTGCAATATATTTAATTTTTCATATGAAGAAAATACGCAATTGGGACAAGCGGCTGTACGTGGCCAACTATTCTACGGGGGAGCTGTGCACCCGTGGCGATATCGTCATCCGGATCACCTTCGGTGGAAGATGCAATGCCGGTACGTCAGCCAACATTATTGTCTCATTGAAATCATCCCAAGGCATCGTGCAATTGATTGTGTACCAGGACCCAGTGTGCAAAACATTCCAGAGAAACAGCACCATATCATTCCGTATTCAGCGTGCGCTCGTAGATATTCCCGCTGAGCTGTCCATCGGCCATGACTTCTCCGGAATATACCCACACTTTTTCTGTAGAAGCGTTGTCCTCACCGATATGCTCACTGAACTGACACAAACCTTCCTTCTGCATAAATGGCTGAGGGGCTCACCAAGTGCCAAATACGAGACTGCTCCGGTATTCTACCACTCGAAAACCACTGAAGTAGAGATATACTCGTGGCGCTTACGCCTTTCCCACATAATGGAAAGCTGCATGGGAGCTTGGTATCTGTTCCAGCCGATCATTGGGCCCTGGCGCATCGGGACGCATTGTTCTGCTTTCTGTCGCTGGGAGCGCACTTGCATGTTTATAGTCAAAATATTTGTCACCATTTGCATTGTTGTTCAATATTTTGGTCCATCCTATGTGGCCCTGTCCTGCGACCCGCGTCCCAAAAAATATCACGACTTGGCCTCAGTAATGTGGGCATGCCTGATATGCTTCATAATCGGTTGTCTCGTACAAGCAGTGATGGAAAAAACTATCCTCTACTTGGGTGCCTATGATTATATATAGCAGACAGTAGTTTAATTATTATTACTTATAGAAAAGTGTATCAAAATAAATCATGATTGTGACAATGTGGTCTCGTTTACCTATCTATCATTGGAGAGATTGGGATAATACAATACTAGCTCTAAATAAAAATTGCCTAAAAGACTATCCAATCGATACACAAGCATTGCTGTGAAAAAACTGTTATAGATATTAAAAAATTATCAATTATCAAAAAGTCATTTATTTCCAAATCCACATACGTACAAAACATAACAAACCCGCCTGACATTGACCATTCCACTGACAAGAAAGGTGTATTCGTTTGAAACATGTCTGCAAAGGAAGAGAAGAGCGATGGGAAAAAGAAATTCATGAGATTAAAAAAAAACAAGAAGGATATTTCGTCATATAAAAAAGATGTTGAGACTGATCTCCATAAAATATCACTGGAGGAGCTTTTGGAGCGGATGCACACCAACCCGACCACGGTAGGCAGGCAGCAAAAGTGTTCATATCAAATGCAATGCTCAGCTTGCATGCTTGTCTATGCCCACTAATTTGTTGTTGTGAAAATTTAAATTTGCACAGGGCTTAACTAAAGCGGAGGCGGCAATTAGACTGGAAGTGGATGGGCCCAATATGCTGACACCAGCCGCAGCGACGCCACAGTATGTAATATTTCTGAAAAACATGTTTGGCGGATTCGCCATATTGCTGTGGGCTGGATCTGCCCTGTGCTTTATTGGATACTTGATACAAGCTCAGACCCAAGCCGATCCGCCTGATGACAATCTGTTTCTTGGACTGGCCTTGGCCTTATTGGTGATCATCACTGGCTTGTTTTCCTATTTCCAGGTAAATTTTATCTAATAAAATGCATTATACAATTCTACTGTATGTGAAAGCATTCCCAAGAATTCACCTGCCATAGCCCATATTTGGCCCCATATTTAATTTATCAGTGAAGCCCAGTTGCTGCCTTTAGCAAGCTCGAAGGGTTTGGGCCACGGGCAAATTGTTTTCATAATTCTGACTAAAAAACATACAGAAGCGAACTTACTACTACTCTCGTAGATTATATAATTATTCCCAGTTTTTGATAATCATTTCCCAAGCTTAAATTGCTTTTTTTTCAATTAAATTTGTTATTCAATTGAAATATTTCGCTGAAATATCTTCAGACCAGACCCCATCACGTTTTACCCAAATTTCACTACATGTAATTATATGCAAAATAACATCTACTATGTATATATGCACATATATACATATGTATGTACATCTATCTTTCTTTTACATCCATACATTTCTGATGTTTAGGTTCATAAGTCATCGGCCATTATGGATTCGTTCAAGAACATGGTTCCACAGTATGCCACGGTTATTCGAGACAGTGAAATAAATACCATAACCGCAGATGAGCTCGTAAAAGGCGACATCGTGGAAGTTAAGTTCGGCGATCGAGTTCCTGCTGACATTCGAGTCCTGGAGTCCCATGGACTGAAAGTGGACAATTCTTCATTGACGGGGGAATCGGAGCCACAGGTTAGATCTGCCGAATTCACACATGAGAATCCGCTGGAGACGAAAAATCTGGCCTTCTTCTCAACCAACGTACTCGAAGGCACTTGCCGGGGAGTTGTCATCAGCACTGGCGATAGCACCGTGATGGGTAGAATAGCCAACTTGGCAGCTGGCTTGGATGAAGTACAGTCGCCCATATCACGGGAAATAGAACATTTCATTCGATTTATTACGATTTTAGCGTGTGTCTTGGGCTTCACATTCTTTGTCATAGCGTTAATTCTTGGCTATACGTTCATAGACGCCGTCGTGTTCCTCATTGGCATCATAGTGGCCAATGTGCCGGAGGGTCTGCTCGTAACAGTCACTGTTTGCCTGACACTGACAGCCAAGCGAATGGCGTCCAAGAATTGCCTAGTGAAAAATCTGGAGGCTGTCGAGACATTGGGATCCACATCGACTATCTGCTCGGACAAGACTGGCACTCTCACACAGAATCGAATGACTGTGGCACACTTGTGGTATGATCGGGCTATCATTGAGTCTGATACCACGGAGACCTTTCGAGGGTCAAAGTTCAATAAGGAGGATCCCTCCTTCAATGCGCTTCTGTTGTGCTCAGCTCTTTGCAATTCGGCCGATTTCAAGGGAGGCCAAGAGGACATACCGATTCTCAGAAAGGATGTAAATGGGAATGCCTCAGAGGCGGCATTGCTCAAGTTTGCGGAGACTGTCTACGGAGGCATTGGACCAGTTCGACGAAAGCACTCTAAACTCACCGAAATACCATTCAATTCGACCGAAAAATATCAAGTTTCTGTGCACGGCTTTGAGTCGAGTGATTCCCATTACATTGTAGAAATGAAGGGTGCCCCAGAAAGGATTTTGGACCGCTGTGAAAAGATACTAATTGACGGGAAAACCATTAATTTGACGCAAGCCCTGAAGGAAGAGTTCGAGGACGCCTACATGGAGATGGGTGGAATGGGTGAGCGAGTGTTGGGATTTGCTGACCTCATTCTCCCGATGGACCAGTATCCGCTGGCCTACGAATTTAGCACTGAGCCCGTTAACTTTCCGCTGGATAACCTGCGCTTTCTGGGGCTTATATCCATGATTGATCCGCCAAGGGCAGCCGTTCCGGACGCAGTATCCAAGTGTCGATCAGCGGGAGTGCGCGTAATTATGGTGACTGGGGATCATCCGATCACAGCCAAGGCAATAGCACGGAGCGTGGGTATCATAACCAAGCCCACAGCAGAGGACATTGCCAAGGAACGTGGGGTGGATATTCACGAGGTGGACCCCCGCACAGCCACTGCAATCGTAGTGCATGGCGGAGAGCTGCGTGAAATGAAAGCAGAAGATTTGGATTCCGTCATCTACTACCACAACGAGATCGTATTTGCGCGTACTTCGCCGCAGCAAAAACTCATTATTGTGGAGGCCTGTCAGAGGCGTGGCGAAATTGTTGCCGTTACGGGCGATGGCGTCAACGACTCGCCGGCATTGAAGCGAGCCGACATTGGCGTTGCCATGGGAATCGCTGGATCCGATGTTTCCAAACAGGCTGCAGACATGATTCTGCTGGACGACAACTTTGCCTCCATAGTGGTGGGCATCGAAGAGGGGCGCCTCATATTTGATAATCTTAAAAAGTCAATTGCGTACACTTTGACCTCGAATCTGCCCGAAATAGTGCCGTTCCTGTTGTTTGTGCTGATTGATATTCCACTGGCTCTAGGCACCATCGCAATTCTTTGCATCGACATCGGCACTGATATGCTGCCGGCCATATCCCTGGCTTATGAGAAGGCCGAATCAGACATCATGTCCCGTATGCCAAGGGATCCCTTTGAGGACCGCTTGGTGAACAAAAAGTATGATGCTTTAAATACATACATACACACACACACACACACACACACACATGCATCACAATTCCGGCTAACTTACGTCATGTTGCAGGTTGATCTTTATGGCCTATTTACAAATCGGCGTCATTCAAACTGTTGCTTGCTTCTTCACATTCTTTGCCATAATGGCCGAGCATGGATTTCCGCCTTCTTCGCTCATTGGAATTCGAGAGAGATGGGACTCAAAAGATGTTGACGACCTAGCGGATAGTTACGGCCAGGAATGGGTACAACTAAATGTTTCAATTTAAACTTTAGCCAAATGCTGAAAATATCCTCCATATATTTTTTGCTTGTTTGTTTCCCAGACCTACAGAGAACGCAAGGAGCTTGAATACACAGCCAGCACGGGATTTTTCGTTTCAATTGTAGTGACTCAGTGGTGCGACCTAATAATCTGCAAAACGCGGCGCAATTCCATAATACAGCAGGGCATGGGCAATCATGTTCTCAATTTTTCTTTGGTGCTCGAGACTGTTATCGCCTGTGTGCTGTGCTACATGCCAGGAATGAAGAAAGCACTGCGAATGTATCCCGTCAAGTAAGTCAACCAAATTTTACCCCAGATGGGCACTTTTTAAACACACACACACACACACACACACACACTTACTTTCAGATTTTTATGGTGGACCTATGCTATACCGTTTGGAGTGCTTATTATTCTATTTGATGAGGGTCGCCGTTATCTCATGCGCAGAAATCCCGGCGGCTGGGTGGAGCAGGAAACATATTACTAGCTATTGATTTTAATAAATAACCCAAACTCGTATTAAAAACGCCAAACTAAATCGATTAGGACAAAGTAAGCTACAAAGTAAACTACCTTTAAGTTTGCCACAGAGAGAGAGAGGGAGAGAGAGAGGGAGTACAGTTAGAGTAAGTACAGTCTGCATCTAGGGCTCCCCCTGTATATTATCACATTATTATTCATTTACTGCGTAGGAGTATTTATTATAGGTCACTTTCACCGTAGACTCTGTCTAGGCTTTTCGTTATGTTATCCATTTTGGAGACCAGCTTCCCCAGAACTTCTTCAAGCAGTGTTATGCGTTGGTTCACCCGAAACGATTTCTTGTTGCCGTCTTTTGGTATAGACTGAAAGTAAACTGTCTCCGCTGGGGTCAAGTTCTTCCTTCGCACAGGACCCTCAAATTCTGACGTGGTGACATCCAGATCAGCCTTCTTGCCAAATGGCGAAGGGCGTGATTTTGTTGTACGAAAAGGCTTGGCCCGAACAAGCTGGGCGTGAACCATTTTGATCCGACTCTTGAAGATACGACAGTAAATCGAGTAGACGGCGCCCGTTAACTTCCTATACACAAAGGAGGCCAACTGAGTGCCCTGTATGGCAGAGCCCCTTTTCACCGCGGTGTAGGTCTCCATGATGATGGCCAGGAATATGTTCAGCAATATGAAAAACACAAGCAGTATGTAAGTGATGAAGTAGATGGGCCCTATCACTCGATCGGACTCCTGGATTAGATTGTACCGGAAGTCGCCCAAGATCATCCGTATCATAGTCAACATTGAAATGATTATGCTGTAGAAGTCTGGATGGTTGCTGCCAAAGAGCAGAAGTCCCAGTCTGGCATAGATCACAAAAACAATGCCAAACATCAGGGTGAAGCCAGCCAAATCCTTGGAGCACCTTGCCAGTGTCGTTGTCCACTCAACCAGTGTCTTGTTCAAGCTAATGAACTTGAATAGTTTGATCCACACGAGAAAGGCCAGAACAGCCATCATGTTCACATAAAATATGTTCGAGAAGCAGAGAACGTCGATGCTCTGGTAGACATCTTCCTTCTGCGCCCTGACTATGAGCGATTTCACCTCGAAGGTGTGCCACACGTTGTATAGCAATGCCAAATAGCAAATCGGCAATAGACAACACTCGAGAATATTTAGAAAGGATTTGAAGTGCGCCTTGAATCCCGCCAGGCGCAGCTCATTGATCTCTATGATGGTGTAGTAAATGATCATTAAATACCAAACAATATAGAACACAGTCATTTTCGGATCGGGATCGGTGAAGAACGAATACTTTTTGACTGTTTGCAAACGCGCCTGGGGTATGACCACCCCCGAGGCGGGAATTTCAGCGATTAGCTTAACGCTCTGAAAGATGTCCGTGTTCTCGTTGAAGAGATTGAACTCCACCAGACACAGCCTCGAGCTGCGGTCCAGCCAATTGCTGGTCTTGAGTTCATTTATCTTCTGCAGGTTATTCTCCTTGTTGTAGGTGAGGTCCACAGTGTAGCCGCCAGAGCTGTAGTAAGCGAGCAGAGTCCAGAACGGTGTTGCCTCGGCCTCGCCCATCGTCCTGTACGGGGAGCCCTTATGTGACCCGGCTCTCTCCTCGGCCGCCCAAGAATAGTCTTCGTAACAGGTGTCAAAGTACCAGCTCATATAGCAGCTCTCCTTTTGAACACGAACCTGGCGGAGGCGCGGCGGGCCGAGTAGCAGATTCTCGTGCATAAATCGGCGTGCTCGAAGATTTTCGATTGGATCGGACTCACTTACGGAATTGGCCGTTTTACCGTCCTCCTCGTCTTCGGTCATATCTCCGTGCAGTGTTATTAAAAAGTTATATATTAAGTAGTCCCACCAATCCGACACAGTGAGAATTTTCTCAAAGCAGTTGGTAACCGATGGCGCCACGACCAGACAGCGAGTGACGAACAGTTTCTTTGTCGTGTCGTTGAAGTAGAACATGTACGGGCTCCGCACGGTGAGAGTGATCAGCGATGTGAGGGCCAGAAAGACGATAAACACCAGAAACTCCAGGAGAGCGGCGCGCACCTGCTCATCGGTGGTATACAGAATGCGCGCTGTCTTCGACTTAAGGCCTTGGGGAGCTCGGTGCTTGCGCCACAATCCTCTCCGCTTCAGGGGAAGAAACATTCGTCCGAACTTGCGTTTCTTAACACTCGGCGCATTCCGCGTCTCTGCTTCCACTTGTGGCTCAGACGCCACAGTGTTGGGATCCGGGGGCGCCTGGAGCGCCTGTCCATGACGCAAGGTCATTGTCATCTCCCCGATGCTGACATTTTTAGAGCCAGCCAACTGTGTCAGCTGATGCTGTGAGTCCATTTCCGAGAACTTTTCGCCTCAAGACGATTAAGCAAACAACACAGACTGAGAAATATGAATTGACAGGACTCAAATAACAGTTACGATTCTGGCAGGCAGCCAGCAGGCAGCTCTGATAAAAAAAAAAAAACAGTGTATTTGTACAACTTACGTACAGAGCAGAACTCTTGCTGCTGCTCCATTCGTGAATATAATAAGATTTAAGTGAAGGAAGTCGCTGACTACATCGGTCTTGTGCTACAGCTTTTGACTGCTATTGCTATTAATCCTTTATTCAATGTCAATGCTTAGAGATTTAAGTGGAAGCACCAAAAGCAAACCACCGTCCTCCCTCGCTGCCAAAAGTAAAGTGCTTTTCCGATGCAACAGTTTCGCGTGGTTTATTGGGATTTTAAAACTCTTTTGTATGGCTGCATAATTTTAGGCAGCATGAACTATTTACGTGTCAAAAACTTTGTGTAAAATTCTTGAATAATTCCAGTCTGAAGGCATGTCTCGCTCCTGTGGGAATATATCTGCAATATATGTATATCCTTCTCTCTCTATCAGAATTCGGGCTCGTTTGAAACCATAAAATAATAAAAATCATCATAAATCAGAAATGAGGCATTGATAGTCTTTCAATAAATTTAATAGGAATTCTTTATTTGTGGCTAGCAACACTAAACGTTGCTCGATATTGTTTTCTTTACAGTCGCTACTGCTATAACGATATGGTAATCTTAACTTACGCAATATTATGTACAGTATTCAGCTATGGACTATTGAATAAGTACTAGGCAACTACCCTGTAATTTGATTCCCGCCCTTCCTTGGCATTCAGTGAATATGTACGTATGCATGTGTCCACAGGTCTGCCTGCACGTGCACCCACGGTGCGTATGTGTAATATAAGGCCAAAGGTGGCTCAAAGCCAAGCATTGAGTGTGGTTCTGTTCCGTTATCGTTTTGGGCTATGTAAAACTCTGGACTAGATGCTGTGGTTGTGTGGCTTGAGGAATATATGTATGTACATATGCTCTACAAATAAAAAATAAAAAAAATACTAGGTGCTTAGAACCGAAGTAAATACAAGGCCACAATGCTATGTGCAAGGCTATAGGTAAGCCAGCCGCTAGAGATATGTGTACAGATGCAGCTACACACATATGTATATATGATAATGTATCGGACGTTGAGCCAACGTTTGGGTGTGGTCCGTGGGTCCGTGGGTCAAATATAGTAAGCCGTTGCGCTGCCTGCTGGGGAAAATCTCTTAATTCTCTCTCCTCCTCCGCAATGGTCGCCTCTTCCCCCCCCTCCACCGTCCTATATGTGAAGAATGGCTTCCGTCGAGGATGTCGAGCGGCTGGCACTCGACTTGGACGATGTCTGTGGCGGCTCCATATCCTTGCTCTGGTCCAGGTCAAGATCGATCACCAGGCAGTCATAGGACGGTGGTGGCAGCTCGAATTTCAACACGCTTTCATAGCTGGGAGGCAGTGTGTCCACAATGCGCAGCACATCGTTTTGGGAGTTGATCTGGCGGGGCAAAAGGAATTCCAATTAAAAATCAGCGTCAGGATCTTAATGTCTCTGCCTCTACTCACATGCGACATTGCTCCGTTGGTGGCTCGATTGCCGGCCTCGTCGATGGGCCCTGCCCAGATGCAGACGCCCATGCGGTGCGTGACATAGCCGCAGATGATCACGCTGATCACCAGCATTCCGATGCCCAGCGCAAAGACCAGCCAGCGCGACTCTACGCTGTTGTCGCGCAGGTTCTTCTCCAGCTGCAGGGCGCAGAGGATCAGGACGGGCACTGCCACCATGGCCACCAATAGATCCACTATCGGACGCTGTGTGCTAGGGCCGGCGTTTAGCGGGGCCCGGCCCATCCCTGCGTGGGACCCAAAGCTATGGCTGCTGCTGTTCGGCGTCAGTGTAGATCGGGCCACGACTGTATTGTGGTTCTGTAGCACCATGCTGAAAGGCAGAGAGGGGGTGACACAGATAATTAGTCAGTCTAGTCTCATGTTTATTCGATGGGAACTTTGGGTAATTTTTAACGCTCAATGAATGGCTTTGAGACCCGAGACCCTCTTTTGATGGCCCGATTTCTCGCCCTTATGCTGGCAGTAGTCGGTGAGATAGTCAAACAATAGCTGCTTAGTCCCTCACATATTAGTACCACTATCACTATTACTATTACTATTACTATTCCTATTACTATTACTATTACTAGTGGTGTGGCGAAATGTTGTACGGGGTCATACCTGGGATCAAAGGCGTTAATCAGCCACAAGTCACAGACGGGGCGCATTTCGATATCGGTTTGAGATTCTCCCTCTCGTTCTGTGTGATTTGTTTCGATTGGTATCAATTGATTAATTTATTGCTGCCGTTATTCAGTTTTAGTTTCTCAATTGCACATTGATTCAATGATTTCAAAAAGAAACCTTTTGCGTATGGATATTTGCTCTTGGATATCTGATCTTCCCGAGAATCCATTGGGGGAAAGTTGGAAGTGCCCAAAGTGGGACTAGAGATCCAGTTGTGAAGAGTTTATCCACCACGGAGAACAGTTTTTTAATGGCAATGATTAAGGTAGGAATTTGATACTCCTTCAGCTTTATTAGAGCACTGCATTTATGACTCCTATTATTCACCGGCTGGAAATCTCGGCCATAAGCATGCTACAGCTGAGAACAGCTGAGAAGATAAGCGCATCTAGCGATCAGCAGCGAATGAAAACCAGATGAGATCAGTGGGATCGCTCGATGCGGTGCAAACTTGTGTTGCTCGTCTCCCTGTTTTCCCACATCATTCGCAGTCGGGCAAGCTTATCAACGGGCAATGTAAGGAGGAGAGATTGGTGCCAGGAGAGAAACTGGGGCTGGCTCGCAGGGGAAGGGTTCACTTTACACCAGCGATAAGGAGAGGCCACCGACTGCACGTGATATGAGCTATTATTATGGAAAACACTTTTCAACGCATTTTATTTGCACTTCGGTTGCCATGGCCGTCAATTAACACTTGAGCATTGGGTTTCGGATTCGGATTCGGATTCGGTCTCGGCTTCGTTTTCACAGGGAAAAACAACAACAGAAATTAAACACGAGTCAGCTTGGTCGGGCTGAAACCGATTTGGGGCGAACTGGACCGGTCAAGTCTTTGAATCCAACTGGAAAAGCGTCCCACACAGCCGAGGCCAGCGAGCATAAGCGAAATTGTATGTACGTCGAGTGATGGACTGCTGACTGGCGAGGTACCCAGGAGTTGCCATACTGCGGGGGTACATATACCAGTGAAATATGTCTATACCTATGTGCACCCGAATCCCCAAAGAACCGAAATGCCCAAACTGCCTTATGCTCAAGGGGTAGAGCGAAAAAAATCATTAAATTGCATTTCAAGAATGAAAAGCGAAGCAGAAAATACTTTTTGTCAATGCGGTCGTGTGCGCAGTCCGCATAATACCAGCGGGGTGGGTGGTACTGGCGAGGGGAACCCAAGTAGATGGTATAGGGTAGAGGAGGGGGAGGAGGAGGAGATCTGGTAATTGCAAAAGAAAATAATGATAGCAGGGAAGTTATTAAGGTTCTTGTCGGGCTTTATCTAGACGCGACACAAAAGCTCCAGCAGAAACAGAGCCAACGTAACCGGTTGCCACCGGCTCGGATCGGCTCGGCTCGGCTCCCCTCATTCAATATATTTTGAACTTTATCTGAAAGTTGTCTGAACTTTGCCAGCGATACTGCAGAGGAGATACCGATGCCGATACCGCCAAGACACGATGCAAAGGCTCGTGAATAGCGCTGCAAAAGTTAAAGTTATGGAAAATGGACAAAGCCAAGGATGAGCTGTCTCCCCTGGACCCCGCTTGGGCCCTCTTGTTTGTCTACCTATGCATCCCTCGACTGCTCACATGACAAATGCAAATACTATATGGAAATGTCCATAAGTCTGCATCATTATCAGTCCAGACAGCTTCGCACTGATAAGACGCCTCTGTCCCCGCTCTTCCGTGGCAGGGCCTGTCCTCAAATACATTCATACATACATACATGCATTCGAATGTACAACCGGTTGTAACAACTTTGTCATTCGCCCTCGTTCTGGTCGTACCGTACCCACTACGAGGAACTTCTCGCTAACAGTTCCATTTGAATGATTTAGTGCCCCAATGTGGGGAAGTTGTCAACGAATCAACGAATTTATGAATCATTTGCCGGTTTTGGGGCGAGGACCCAGTTCTGGATCAAAGAGCCGTTACAAAGATGTAAGGACTTCCTTCAATTTACGTAAGTGAGCCGTTGTCCGAAATCAGGGCGCAATAACCCCCTTCCCTATATTTGTACTCGTTGCAGCTTTGTTTCGTGGGGATCGGTTTTTGGATAAACATACATACATACATATGTATGTATATATTGTATGCACATTAGGAAATTCTTAGAATTCTCTTCGAATTTACTTATGCATAATGTGTATGTATATATATTTTATTTTATTTTATTTTATTTTTATTTGTTCAAGCTTCTTAAAAATTTCCATAAAAGAAACTACTCGTATCAATTGTTTATGGTATTTATTGTAATTTTCGCCTTTCTTTGGCAGAAAACAATTGCAGACACCGATACAGGTATCTTACGTAAGAGTTGAAGATACAAATACAAATCATTGCTTGAGCTATCAACTTCCGTCTTGCGTCAGAATCTGTAGACTTCCGCTCAGGGTCTAGCTCTGCGCCCGCTACCCCTTGCCCATTGCCAGTGCCAGTGCCAGATAATATGCCAAGTACTACGTGCCCACAAGAATTTTGAATAATTTTTGCATATTTTCACTTGTGAATGAAGAGCATCTCATCAGCATCAGCATCAGCTCGAGTCAATGACCAGAGGCATGCATGTAAATACATACATTCGTATGTACGTGTACTTGATAAACTCGTATAAATGATCATATAGGGAGGGTACTCAAGGCAGAACAAGGCAGTTTCCCAGGCTTGCTAAATAGAAAATCTCGATACGTTATTGCATGTCACCACCAGGCACGTAGTCGTCAAAGTGTCATCTGCCTGTGACTCTGACTCCGACTCTGCCTCTGCCCCTGCCTGACGAAACGAATAAATCGTCTAAAATACAAATTAGCCTTGTGACTCTAATAGACATACACGCCCACAAAAAATGCCACCATTGAGGGAAACAGGGTAAAAAGTATTTTTTATATGGGTCTGGGTCTGGGTATAGTTGTTGCTCTGACCATACTGAGAGTATAGCTTATCGTATACGAGTTTCTCTGCTCGAAATGTGCAATTATTGTACGAGTACTGCGTGATTTTGACTTTGAGAGAATGGAATAGAATAGAGTGTCAGCTTTTCAGCTGGGCACTGGCCCAGAAACCCAATTGGGTCCAAGTGCAAAGATCAGACATAAGAATATATCATTACCGAATAGTAGGTAATACTCGTAAGTAAATTGTATATGTATGCAGATATCGAATTACTGATGACTCTGCTTGACTTTTTTTCGAGTAATGTGCAATTCTCTTTTGAGCAAGCTTTCATTTTGGGTCTTCGGACCAAGACGTTCGCCTTTTGTCTCTTCGTAAGGCCGTACACGGATCTTCAGTCAGCTCGATAGGGTAATGCTTTTTTCTCTGTTAAATTTCTTTCTTTTCTTTAGCTAAAGGTGTGCTCAGAAAATAAATCTACACAAATATCATAAAGATATAAGACAACAACGATATGATTTCCACAAAGTGAGTGAATTTCCCTATTTGCTTAAATGGGAAATGCGTCATATCCCAGCCCCAGACGTTCAGTTCATATGATATAGGTGCTGCATGGTGAGGTACTTTATGTGTTTCAATTGTTTTAGATTCATATAATAAAGTCGGTAAATGTTGACGATGCTCCCGACCTCCCTCACCATTATCGGTCGTGTGGCAAGCCATAGAGCATACAATCATACAACCACAACAGCCGCAATGTTTTTAATTGTGACGACAAGAACAAGAACCATAAAACTAAAGCAGAGACAAAAGACGCCTGACGAAACAAACGCCCACAATGCGGAACAAATTCTTGGGAATCGTCTGGCCTACTTAGCAAGGGAGTCACTCTGATATATGTAAGTACGTATACGTATGTATGTATTAGTTCGCTTATGTTTCCAGTTATACCGTACGTAGATGTGTCTGTGCATATGAGCCTTCCATACATGAACCAGAATGAAGCAATGACGATGATTCCCCACAGGCCGATCCAACCACGGAGAGTATTATTAATGTATTAATTGATCGGATCCGAGTGTTGTTAAATTGTGAATGGGCGAATGTGTCAACCGTTGTTGATGCCTTTTGATTGACCAAATTGCCCGAGTGTCGAGGGAGGGTGGATGGCTCCCTGCAAAGGGGGGGAACTTCTCATTTAAAGCTGAACATATGTATGTACAATGCACATTGTGCATAGATCCCTATAATCTCTTAAGCTTTTGCCAACCCTCTTTCTTCCGTAGTTCCTGGCCATAATTGGAACAATAGTTGATACGAAAATTGTTTTTAATTTAATTTCCCCTCTTTTGCTTTAGTTTTCTGCTGGACCACCCAAGAAAATACATTAACTTCATACATGTATGTATGTATACATATGTATGTTCATACATATATGTATGTATGTACATATATAACAACTAATAAAAGTCACAAGATAAATGAATTCTATTCTGCTATCAATAAATTTTATTTATCTGTTGTTTCTGGCTGATGATTCGAATTCTCATTCACATACATACATACGTATGTACATACATTCATATGTACATAAAAATATGTACATTTAATATGAATGTTTTTGTTGAAACTTGGAAAGATTTTTAGTTCTGCCATGTTAAGAAATCTCAGTGGGAGTTATCTGTGTTTCTGTGGCATCTTTCGCTGAATGATGCAACTTCTTTCCGAAAACCGAGCGATACTATCACTATCGAAAGGCAAAAACACCTGTTTTTGTTATTTGCATTGCCTTTGGGATAGTTCGAATCTTCTTCGCTTCCCAAATTGCATGGCATGGCCCACATACACCACCACGCACATGTGTACACACTAGAGCAGAGAGCATCATTTCCGTCTCTGTCTGTCTCCTCCTTTCCTATTTTGTGAATTTTATTTATAGACGTGGGATGAAGGGTGAGGAGTAAACATGTTTGTCGGCATTTCGTACTCACTTGAGAATTCCTCTGTTCGCTTAGCTTCTCTTCTCGCTCTCGTTTCAACCAAACACACTCACTCTCTGTTTGTATATCTTTGGGGGCTGGCTGCTTCTGCTTCTGCTCTGCCCTGCTCTTCTTCAAATCGAGCTGTCTTTTCCGCACATTTGAAAACAACAAAAAACAGACACAAAAACAAAATGTACAACAACAGGCCCGAACGAAAATGTTGTGTTATTATTGAGAATTTTGCACGCGATTCGATTGATTTGCCACAAAATCGGTGCAGCGGCAAGTTGAATGGACTGTCTATCTGTGCTGGCTCTGGGTGTACTCGTAGTGCTCCTCCTGGCGTTGGTTGGGGTCCTGATCCTCGCAGCTGTTGCCTACTCTCACGCAATGGATCCAATGCCCGTGAACCATTACAACTACGCCACTATACTATGAGCAAGTGGTTGATGGTCGTGGAGAGTGCGCTCTCCTCAGCCAGGATCTCTGTCGATTACGTTCTGTTGAACTTTGGACAGCAGTGGGACGCGAGGCGAACACAAGAGCAATACAACCGAAGACGACCGGTATAAGCGTAGGGAACACCGTTCGCGCACTGCGAATCTACAAAATTTGTGATATTTATTCCTCCTTTCTTATGGGTTTTCGAATTAATCGCGGAGATCCGATCGGGATGAACCAGGGCGAGCATTGACTAAGCAGCAACTGTGCCGATCGCTTTTGCGTCTGCTCTGGCTTCGACTCTCTCTACCCACGTCTGCTGCTCACGTCGACGTCGCACAGTGGGGCCATTGTAACGGTTTTCCCCCAATATCATATCTTCTAAACTAACTAACGAGCTAACCATCACAATCTGAGAAGTTTTGGAAAGATATTTCCCTAAGCTGTAGAATAAAGAAAAGCCTCGGGATTCTTCGAACAGATACATAAATAAACCAACATTCAATACATTCATGCAAATAAATTAAAAGTTATATATTTGTACTTATTTCCGAAATGTTTATAAAAATCTGATCATTACAAATACACGCCCAATACGATATCGCTTTTTTTCATTATTTTTAGACAGCTTTTAAATGAAAAAAATTTTGAATAAATAAAAATGGGGTTAACAAATTGATAGTCTCCACTGTGCGTCGACACACAGTCAATGACGTTTTTGTCGCTTCTGTAGAAGATTCTCTGATGTTGCTGTTGTTTCTATTGTTGCTCAGCTTTTGCTCTCTGTCAGATATGCGCAAGGCATGGGCAGAAAGGTGCCGATCGCTATGAATGGCATGCCAGAGTATAATTTGCATTCAATCAGACACAAAGTTTTGTTGAGAGCTGAAAAGCTGTTCATTGAATAAATAAATCCAGCTCTTAATGGGATTTCCTCTGTACTACCCTTAAGAAAATAGAAATCTCCGTCATGAAAACCACAATAGAATTTCACGTTCCAATGTTCAAGTGGTGAACAAGTCACTGGAATGCCTATTCAGAGATGGCATCACTAGAACAAGGCGCACTCTCTTGTATCACAATTTTCATACCTACCAGGGTAAACTTATAACACGATATGGTTATCTGAGTGACTGCCTCTTTTTGAGTAGAATATGTAGAATACACAAGGAGAGCAGCATGATCATACCTTCTTATTACAGTCCCCTTCCTGTGGTTTACTCTCTAGGTCTGCAGAGGGTCATGTAGTCCGGAGCTCAAGAGCTTTGACGTGATCGGCACGCTCTGAACACTCTGCACCCACACTGCACAATGGAACCAAAGACCAACAAATTAAAATACATACATATGTATGATTGAAAACTAAGTAAAAGTTCCTAATGCACATCCTTGGTTACTAGAACATAATGGATGGACAGCTTTACAGCTTTTAAACACTCCTTCTCCACGTTGAGAATGTCCTCATAAATCCGATGGGGAAGCGACTCGTATGTAGATAATGTGCATATATTTCCAATATTCCATTACACACAGACTGTCAGACCGTTATTATTTTATCTTTCCACAAACTATTATTTCTCGCTCACTCCGCCAGGGATCGTAAGCTAAATGTGGATATTTGCGGGAGAGAGAGTGAGAGAAGATCACATGACAGGAGAGCCACTGAGAATTAATTTCTTTATTCTGACTATGATAACGATCTGATCGACGTCTGCCATCTAGTAATCTGACCAATCTGTTAGATTTTGTTTTCTCGTACAGTGGAAGTTTCGATTGCCCGCGAGTGCCCTCTGGCGCAGGAGATGTAGAATCTTAATGGTAGATGTAGAATCTATATCATATGCCTACATATTTACATACTAACTGAGTAACTGAGTACTACGACGTTCCTTCTCGTTTTATTCTGCGAATTTGAGCCTTTTTGTTTACAATAAATTTCAAAGGAAAAAATAAGTTTTGAACTGACTGACTTGATGGCTGATCTGATTGTTTTTTTAAATAAGATTTGTTGAATTCGTTTGTGCGATTAGGTATCCAGTGTTTTGTTTATGTCTGGCTATATAATGAAAAAAAAAATGTTATGTTATTTTTGCTATCGGTTGAGCAATGGATCTCAGATTTCAGCTTCGTTGCCATGACTGAAGATATGGACACACACACACACAAGAATGAATAGAAAGTAGAAAAAAGGGCAAGCGCAGCCTAAGAGACAGACGGCGAAGCTTCATGCATATGTACATACATATGTACATATATTTTCGAGAAACTTCTGACTTGGCAAATTATCGCTAAAAACCGAATAAGCTCCCCTAACTCTGCTATAAAAAAAACTAGATAATATAAAATTCGCCCTGAAACTAAAGAAGCTGTGCAAGCCATTATTTTTAGAATGATTTTTGCTATTCAAGCCATTTTCTGAGTGAGCAATTTGTACAAAATATCCAAGTCTTTCAAAAATTTTGGAATTTTATAAGTTATTAATTTAGCAAGCTGAAGTGGCGGAAGTTTCCACTGTGCGTCGTTTGACCCTGGCTTCTTTAGTATCAATTAAGATCAATTTCCGAATACCATCAACGATAAGAGTACAGAGTACAAGAAAATACATACATACATACATATGTACATAAATATGGGCATTTCCATGATGTAAAGTGAAAAGAAATAAAGCGTGGTTTTATTTGTACAACAGGAATAGCTAATGAATCTTAATTAGCCCTATAATTGTTGCCAAAGTTGATTTTGGTCAACTGGAAAATTACATGTAAATATGTACATAGGTACATATGTACATATGTATGTATATGCATATATTCTGTATATATATTTCTGTTACAGAAACAGCTGAACAAACAAATGTGCAAGTAAGATTTACATTTATTTGTTGTACATTAAGCAGAAGCTGCCATATATCCAATATCAGGCAATATGGATTACTGCCACAGGTTTTTTTTCTAAGCCAATAACATCTGATTCCTTCTTCTGGCTTTTACATCCCCTTCGATCAGTGGTAATCATGGGCGTACACATATACATGTATGTATGTATGTATGTATGTATGTATGTATGTAACATGCTCACCTTTTAAGGTGTGTTCTGGCTCGCCCAAGTCTCACCTTTAGTTAGTACACCTCGGTTCTAGCTTTCTTGCTCTCATTGAGGTCGCAGCTTCTTTGCTTTGCTCCCGGCAGCGCGTTGATAAGAGATGCCGTTACTGTAGGCGTTGCCTTTGTCGCTTATCTGATTGCCAATGTGACACATTGAGCAGACAATGGGCAAACGCCTGCGTGGATGTGAGTATGGTTGCTGGCTGCTGGCTGGAGAGTTGTTTGCTTCGCGATCTGCACACGCACACAAAAAGCGCAGTCACCTACCTGATAAGGCAGGCTCTTCCTCCCGCACTTTTGGCGTTTCTTCGCCCATAACTGAAAAAACAATTCCCCTACTAAGTACTTGCTGGGAAAGTGGTAAAGTTTTGCACTTACGAGTACATATTTGTCTATCTTGTGCTGCCAAGAATCTTAGAAATATATGATTTGGATATATGTATGTATGATCCCAAGGAATTTATGTACATATGTATGTATGTGTGAATAATGGAGGTTTGGGCATACCTAAGCCCTTAAGATTCCCACGAATCCCCGCCATACCTTTTGGCTGCTCTTATCAGTTCCTATAGAAATCTGTTGAATTGGCACAATAAAATCCCGATTGCGTCATTGCTGATTTCGTTAATCATGGTAGTGAAATCAAAATACATTTGGGTCAATGGATTATCAATGCAGGGTACATGTGACACATCAAATAGTCAATTACCTCCGATACGGCAAGCAACCGATGAAGTTAACATATGTATGTACATGCAGAGATGTCAGGATGATATCCGTACCGTTACACTGACGATAGTCGAAGTTCGATGTCCACACGAGCAGTGCAATGACTCGGACAAAATAGATCACAGATCAGAAATCATTTCCAGGTAGGGAGTGGACAGATTTGTCGACAAACAGAGAGAACCCGCAAGCGGATAGCCCCATTTAAGGTTTTATGGCAGATACGTGATCGGGCTGTTGCCCTCTCACCCATCTCCACCAATCAGGGCTAGTCCCACATTGAGTCGGAAAAACTTTTGCAAAATAAAATGCTGGTCACGTCCCAAGTACATATGTACAAAAAAATATCTGCTTCTGTATCTAACCTATTGCTGTGGCAGAGCAAAAGCCTGCCAAAGCGAATAAGCGACCAGAGGCACAGGTAGGCAATAGATAAAACCGGCCATATTCCAAAGACAAATTGATAACACAACCATCTTTATTGCGCTTGTGCGGGACGGGAAGTCGCATCGTTTGGGCTTATCGCAGCCTCACTGAAAAAATAAAGCAAACAACAGCCACCACAGTCGGTTATCAGGGGGCGAGGGAGAGACGACTTTACGGATGCACACACTGATATCATGTGGCACAACATGTAGTTGGCTTATTGACTTGGGGCCCGAAGCTATAAAAGATACTATGTTATACATTTTTAAGAATTAATCGTTCTTAGTACAAACATAGCACCATCAGGTGCACCATCCCGACTGAGCTGCAGGAACAAGGTAGAGTGCACAGCCCTAGCAGTTTATATAAATTAGTATACTGAAACTGATACATTCTTCTCCCAGTATTACATTATATTTTGGTTAATATATACTGGCTTGGGATTGTGGCTTGAAAAGGGACTAGGTATCTGTGTTCTGTAGAGCCTCTAGCCTCTAGAACCGCTTTTTGCCTGGAGCTGACGCGGATGCCTGGTTGCTTTCACAGATATAATTTAGGGCTATAATTTGGGTATATATTCACATTTTTCTCGATATTACTTTTTTTCGATACACATATGTATGTACATACATATGTTGCTTAAGAGTTGCGAGCTAGCGAGCATTTGGCTTGTACACAAACGGTTCGTTACGATGCCAGTGCCTACTTTCAGGCTGTTCATTTCAATAACCATTGATCGAGAAGCGCTGTACAATGTACATTTAAGGAGTTGTCTCTGAGCTTTTACTTGATGCAAATCACTTTGGGTCGTAACTGAAAAAAGCCGTTCCAAGCCCAGCTGTGAGTCGCGGTCCTCTCGCAGGAAGTCCAAATCCTGAAGTACTGAGATCTTGATGAACCGGAACAAAAAAAAAAGAAAACGAATAACCACCTTAAAGGCACACAGTGGGCGGGTGAAGCCTACAATCAAACTAAACTTGGACCTGAATAGACGCAATATTATACTATAAATTAGCCAGTTCTATATAAGATTCTATATGAATGATTTTCAAAAACGTTACTTTGTTTCCTCGTGGAAACACGAAACTCATTTAAAAAAAAACGTTGTATGGAGCCTAGGTCCCTGCCACAACACAAACACTGCAAGGTTTTTCCAACAACGAAATTTGGTTGGTTTTTGAAGTTCATCTAAACTCGAGTGAAGCAAATAGACCTCTGCCCGCAAAGGTCGCAATAGTTAAACAATAAATTGGGCAATAGTAGAGCGTATTCACCGTAGTTCACCCGTGCTCTTTTTCGGGCATAATTATTCTTTTTTGTTCTACTTTTATATTTGGCTCGACAATCAACTGGGAGTTTTCCCGTCTTCCTTTTGTGTAGCTCTGATTTCTTCTTGTTGGCTTAGCAGTTTTTTTCTCTTGTGTAGCTATGGCCATATGGGAGGGAGCTGGTGCCACCTGTTGACACTGCACTACGTATGTACATAGCTGTTCGTAGTTTACTGATAACTTTAGATTGTCAGATTTTAGTTGGCGACATGCATGTCGGTTGCCTGAAATATTAAACAAGTTATTAAACATTCATACATTTGTGTGATGAGTAAACGAACCGAGTAGAACAGCCAAGAGACACCATCGAAGTGACTGACAGTCTGCTCCGTGCCTTTCCATTTCACATTTCTTGCGATTGCGGTCCTGCGAGTATTTTTCAGCATGCGCTTCTACTATATCATATCGCTGGGAATTCGCTTTGTTTTGGTTTTGATGTTCTTTGTTTTTCGTGCCTGCAGAGTGGTTGCTGAAAACTTGTCCTGCTGACTTGCATCGCATCTACGTTGGCCTCCATGTGCTCTAAATGACTAGCGTAAAGACACATTATTATATTTATTTAATCAAACACGCTTTTTTTCCAGGTTCCATCCAGCTGATTTTAAAAACAAATATAGCAATTAGGGATGTGGAATATGTACCGATATGCAAACCATGTCGATAAATGGGCGAACTAGCAGCCGATGGTATTTCCAGCGATATTGTCGATTAATATCGAATTAATAGCAGACCTTTTACTTGGCGCGGCTTTGCTCTCGATATCGGAATATACGAAATCAGACAAATTTACACTTGCAGGCGCAGGTTGTTACGTTATTAGAGTAGGTAAATTATGATTATGTCTTCGATGACGACCAAAGCCACCAACTTTTGTAAATCAACAGAATTCTGCACACGTTACAGTCGTTTTGTATGGCTAAAGGGGTAAGCGATTGAAAAGAGATTTTTGAGTGTGCTGTAGATAATCTCGACAACATTTACACCGTTTTTATTGCAAAAGAATAGAACAGCAAACTACAAATTGTGAAACATTATTATGTGGACTTAATTTTCCCGCTTTAATTAAAGACATACGAGAAATTGCACGTATGTATGTATGTATATATGTATCTATGAACGACATAATTTTTGTGGATACAGAGTAACAGCCAGTTTGCGAAATTTCAGTAATGATTGTGCACAGAAATATTTAGAACGAGTACGGATATTTAAGTCTGTATATCGTAATTCTACGACATCTAGAAGCTTTACAATATGCTGTGAAAGTTAAACTTTGTTACCTATGTACATATTTACATACATATTTGTGCACAAATGAATAATTAAAAATGTAATTGAGTGTAGCAAAAATATACAACAAAAATGGTTTAATGTTCAATAATAAAGTTTTTTAAAATAAGCATTCCACACTGGAGTAAATATTTCAATGGACTATACCCTTTTTGTACAAATAAAATCCTATTTAATTAAAGTTAAATAAATAAAGTATTTCCAACGATTTGTGTGCCTCTGCTCTGAGGTTTTTAGATAAGGTTCCCAGGTTCGGTCATATTTTCACTTGGACCGCAAGCCCCGTCCCGACTTGACCGCAGTGATAGCGCCTTATCACTATTACTAAGTACTAAGTACGAGTGGATCCTGAAACACATGGAACACTTATGATGAATTCAAAAGTAAAACCCATTTTTGTTTATTTTTATTAGCTAGGAATAATACGAGTTTCTAATTATGGTTTTAATATATTTACGTGCGGACTAAAGATAAAATGTTGACTGATATAAAGAGTTGTACATGAATAAATATATATGTACATATGTATGTATGTATGCACAAACATATGATACATATGTATGTTCACTCAGAGAAACGTGGCACAGTATAAAGAAACAGACCAATATTTAAATTAAATATTCGGTTTTTAAATGAAAATTTAGTACAATTAAAAATAGTTCACTTTGTCGGAAAAAATCTGTTGGTACCTATCCAATTTAAAAACTATAAATGTGTAAATATAGCCGCTTCAATATTTGCTCTGGGTGTTGGTGTAGTTGTGTCATGGGAAAACTGAAAATAATGAGTTATGCTGCTGTAAGATGGATAAAACCCTGCTTGCTTGGTGCACCGCTCTCTTAGGTTTTCCAGCTTAGAGAACCTCACTCAGCATAACACCAAAGAGAGAGCAAAGGAAAGAGTGAACGAATAAGCCCACATTATTGGACCCGGCTGAAGTGGCACGACCAGGACCAATTGACTGGCTTGCAGCTTGTCGTGCGCCCCGTCTCCACCCAATGGGACGCCGCATTACCTGTGCCAGTGCCACATGCCACCACCCTGACCTACACAGCAAGCGGCCAATCAGCGAGTAGGCGGTGCAAGCCGGAAGGCCAGCCGATTGGACGCTGCCTTCAGCAGCGCCAACTGAGCGCAAGCGAAAGAGAGAACACGACCACGAGCGCAAGAGAACCAACGCCAACACGGCAATCAATTGCTGAATTCAAAACCAGCGAGAGAAAGAGAGAGACAGAGAGAGCAAGCGAGCGATTTTTTGTTATATTTCTACTTCTTTATTTTCTGAGCTCGGGTCTCGGCTCTGCTGCTGCTGCTGCTCTGCTCCCACTGATTGCTCCGTTCCGTTTCACGGGTTAAGTCGCGCTGGCGGCCACACTAAGTGTCAGTAACGATTTAGTACGACCCGCGAGCGCACCTGCTCAACCCACCCACACATGCTCGTGTGCCCGCCCAGATATCCATCCGCATATGTGTAATCTCTTTTTTTTTTAACAACTATTTTGCCCGTGCTTCTGTGTCTGTGCCTGTGTGTTTGTGTGAGTAGAAACAGTTAGTTTAATAAAACAAAAATTTAAATTTAAAAAAAGGCGCCAAAAATTGCTACTTTGAAAAGTGAACTGAAAAGTGCTGTAAGAGGAAACCAAAACCGATCCAAATAGTTAAAGAATATCCTCGAAACCCTCAGCATATACCTGGCAAACTTTAAAAAACATTTACAAAAGTTATCCCAGAATTTCCAATTCCATGTGCCCATTGAGATATGTTTGCTGCTGTTATTTCCTATGTGAATTCTCGAAAAAAACAAGAAACGGGGGGCCCGTCCCCGGCCCAGTGGAAAAGCAATCGAGCCCTTCATGGGCTCTATGCAAACAATAAATAAAAACATATGTACATGAATATGTACAATGTATGTAAATTAACAAAGTGTAGTGCAAAACGAAGCGCAGAGATCATCTATACGGGGCATGCTCGACAGCAACTAATTCCAGTGTTAATTTTTGTGACTAATTTTTCGGAACGAGAACCCCGATCTAGCGGGGAAGAGTCGGAACGGAGCGAGCTTGCAGCGCCTCAAAGTAGGCATCGGAATCACACGTGCATGCATGTACATGTATGTATGTACATGTATCGACACATCGATCCTCTTCCGTTCTGTTCCACTCTGTTCCCCGCTGAATGAAACAATCAGTTATGTTCTGTTGTTACGAGTAGTGCCAAAATCAATCAATTTTTGATATAGATTCTATCGGTTATGTTTTTTGTTTTTGTGGTTCCAGAGATAAGGATTTACGGATGAATGAACAAAACACTTACCAGTCGATAAGCGCCCTTCAGCCGCAGCCTCAGCCTCAGCTTCAGCTTCAGCCCGCACTGTAGACTGATAAAAAGGACAGAAAAGAGAAGGAAGGGAGCAGCAAAGATCAAAGTAAACCGATCCCAGGGCCCCGCCGAATGCATTTGCATCTATTGGCCAGCGACCCGACAGCGCAACAGTCCAGCAGCAGCAGCAGATCCAGAGGAAGACCCAGTGGCCGCCGCCCCCATACGGGTGCCTCCTCAGCAGCAGCAGCAGCAGCAGCAGAGCCGCCAGAGTCCACCAACCCCGATCCCGCCGCCAGCGACGCGGGCCCTGCCACTGTGGCGCCCGTCAGCATCGCCGGTCCCGGCCGCCTGGCGCGCAGCATCAACGGCAGCAGCGTCGGCAGCCACCACCCACACTCGTATTACCCCCCCTATCCACACCACTACACCCACAATCCGCATTCGCATTCGCACCTGCAGCACCTACAGCATCCACACCATCCGCACCCCGCGCACCCGTCTCACCACAGTATGGTGACATCCTCCACCTCGCCCACCGGAAACGGCTGGACCACGCCGGGCGACTACAAAGGGGCCACGGCCGCCACGGCCCCGGCCGCCCCGTCGGTAGCCACTGCCGCCACAGCATCTACCGCCGCTGCCGCTGCCGCCGCCGCTGCCGCATCGGTCATGTGCGAGGTCCTCGTCCAGCCCTCGAGCAGTGCCAGTGTGGGCAGCAGCTCGCCAACAGGTGGCGCCAGCAACGGCACGGCCCACAGTGGACACAGTGGTGGTGGCAACAGCAGCAGCACCACAACCACCACCACAGCCACCACCACCAACAACAACAAAAACAACAGCAGCAACAACAACAACAATGCAGTGCATCAGGACCTGCTGTGGATGGAGAGACTGGTGCTGAAGCGGCAGCAGGAGCATCCCGGGGAGCTAGGTGAGTAGGGAGGGATGGAGTGTTGTCCAAGGGGCGGATGATCATATGGCATATGGAGAGCAGGGCAAAGGCCACCCACTGAGTATTAACCAAGTACTAAGTACGAAAACCTTAACTGTTATGCACAGCCAGAAGAGAGGAAGAATGGGATCAATACTCGATCTCCGTCTCTCCCTGAAATTCTCTGTACAAAAATGTACCGTATACTGTATATACTGTATAAACAATAAACAGTATAATTCTGTTCAGATATTATTTTCGAAATTTATTGCAAGTTTCATAGTTCAACCATTTCACATATATAGTAATTGGATTATCCCTGATGAGAACACCCATTAAAATCAGCTAAAGATAATTTATTCTGTATTGCAAGAGTATAGTCATGTTTTCCGTCTCTTATGTATCTCCTATAAGTGAGATGATCCCTAATAAAAGTTCTTCCATCTTACACAAAGATCTTTGCAGGCCAAGCACAAAATTAAATTCTGACTTTAGTAACGTAAAGTCTGGTCATATTTCGGCTTATATGTATGTTTGGAATTTCTACGTTCGCTTGTTGCTGAATCAATGCAATGCAATCAATACAATCAATGCCCTTAGAATGTAAACTTATGAAATTAGATTGAAAATTGCAAACCATTTTGCAGATGAATTTAGCAAATTAAAATCCGAGTATGCCTTTGACCCTCCGTACTGAATATTAAATAGAGGAAGATTTCGGGAAGATTATGAATGATTTGTCATAGAGCTTTGCCGTACAACACCCTGAACCTAATCAGAGCTTTGGATAGAGCCATCATCCCATTGATTATTAAGAATTGCTTTCCTGCACTTGCAGACGTATGTACTTATGTATGTAGTTCGGACCCAGCTAGGTTTCCGATATTCCTTTCATTCCTTTCTGGTTGTTGGGGCAAAAAGATACAACTTTAGCTCGTGTCCAGCCTAAGATTGAGGGGATCACTGATGGATAACCCGATCCCAGTGCGGCAGCGCACATTCTTTGCCGTCTCTTGCCACATCCTTGCACATGCACTTCTGGGGCTTCCTCTGCTCCATTATGAACTTTATCGTCATCATTATCCAATTCCACAGCTTGTCGATGTCAACGGATGATGATGTCAAAGTTGTCCCCTTCTGCTGCCAGCGATGATGATGAGGCAAGGCATGAATATGCGTAAATTGATATCAATAATTGTTATTGATATCAACGCACGAGTCTTTGGCCTTTCCTTGCTTGAGCTCCCCCCACCCTCTTCGCTGCCTCTTGAACTTTCCTTTCAGCGAGATATCAATGACCCGAAATGAAAGCTGCTAATGAAATCTCAGCTCATCGTTCAGCCCCTCCTCGCCAAGTCGAATCTGCCCAGAGACCTCAATAATTAGCTAGTGATCCAGTTTCTCATACTCTCATACTCTCATGTCTCTCTGACATGTCCTCCTTACAGAAAGCAGCGTACATACATACACACATATGTGCATATCCTTACCAAACTATTCATAACTTTTGCTCCTCAATGAAGTTGAAGTGCTACAGCAATATCGAATTGCACCGATCGACCCCTTGCAAGATCGACCCCTTGCGATGGGGTTTAGGATCGAGAAGTATTTTTCTAGGCAAAACTATCGTCGAATCGTTTGACTTTATTTTCATTTTGCATACGAAAGCTCAGCATTGCTCGGATTCTCCAGGAAGGCAAGTGCCACTGATAGGAGAGTATCAGGAGGCATTCAAAAGTGTTTAATCAGCAAGAAATGATTTCGATTTCGGTTTTTGATCATTTAAATTTCAATGATAGATTTTTGAGGCCCAAATTAATTTGTTATCCAAAACAAATGCCGAACTGTCAGTCATTTAGCTGCTCCACTTGTTCTGCCCAACGCAACCCTGCCCAGCCGCCCACAGTAGTTCCGGTTGGCCCACTTTGCGCACCAGGTCAAACGTCAAACGCCAGAAGTCATCTGGAAAAGCCCTTTCCATTCGCACAGCCGTCACTCAGCACTTCTGCAATCACCTCCACATGACGTGGAGTCCCTAGACGGACTAATTAATTATGCACCACCGGATGGCGGGCTGCGGACAGGACACTGGACTCTGGACGGAGGACGCCATCAGCGGACACTCCACTCCACATTGGAAAACAGTCCATGGATGATTGATGGTCACCGGTTTGCTGGGTCTGGGGCTGCTGAGTACTGGGACTGTAAACTGTGAACTGTGAACTGCGAACTCTGAACTGTGGGTGATGGATATTTGGTGGTTTGGGGGTGCAGGCGCGGGGGACAAAAACAAACTATAAATAATTGAGCGTTTTTGCACATTTTGATGGCCATCCAATTATGATTTAATGAACTTAACGATGGGGATCCAAATGCTAATCGAAACATTCCATTCCGCTTGCTCTTTCTCTTGCTCTGGCTCTTACATCTGACATCCTTTTTTGCAGTGCGCACGAGCAATCCTTACTTCCTGTGTTCCGCCCTGCCCTCCCATTGGCGCTCCAATAAGACGCTGCCGCTGGCCTTCAAGGTCGTTGCTCTGGCGGAGGTCGGCGACGGAACCTACGTGACCATTCGCGCCGGCAACGACGAGAACTGCTGCGCCGAGCTGCGGAACTGTACCGCCCAGATGAAGAACGACGTGGCCAAGTTCAACGATCTCCGCTTCGTGGGACGCAGCGGACGAGGTGAGTGCTCCGGTGACGAGCCCCCACGCCAAAAAACATCCTTTAAGCCTAGATTAGAGTGGAAATTAAGCGGGGGAACAGTCCTGCGAAGGTGGTTCCTATAATTGGCTGGGTAATATACCCTGTCCCTCTGGGATCTGTTGGATCCAGTAGTAGTACTATATGTCTGTGGTTGAGCTCTACAACAATAAGAAGTCGGAAATACAATGAGAGCAGCAGCCATTTAAGGGGACATTCACCTTTCGCAATCCAAAGCCCGCTATCTCCTGCCTGCTCCTTCCCACAGTTGGTTCCCCAAGAAGGTCCCGATCCTGGGGAGCGGAAGCTCTCTGGCCCCCTCCCACACCCCAATCGGAAGTGCATTGATTGAGTGACATGCCGAAAGTGTTTTCCTTCTGCACCCTTCAGCCGGTCCACCGCCAGAGGAGTGAGGCTCGAGCACCGATCGATCCGATGGTGGTACAGCAGTCGTCACATTAGGCTGCAGTTGGCGCTGGCCCCGGGCCAACATGCAACACGAGGCGGCACACAAGAGTTGCACTCCATTCAAATACGAGTAATCGTGCATATCCATATACAGATCCATATCCATATCCATACTTATACCCATATGCACTTAGATCGGAGGCGTCACGCAAGGCTTAGGCCTGGTCCGGGCTGTCCTGGTCTGGTAATCGATTTTAACCCACAATTAATGTGGAATTGAGCAGGGGAAGAGGCAAGAGCACGGGCACGGGCACGGACACGGGCACGAGCATGGCTGGCCTGGTCGAATGCTGCATAGAATTTGCAGCAGCAGCAGTTGGCTAATTAGCTGCAACTGTTGCCTGTGTCCCTGTCCCCTGTCTCTGTCCTGCCTCTGCCTCTGCCCCAGCCACAGAGCCAGCCCCAGCTTAGGACTCTCCCTCAGACGAGCCTCCTCCTGCCTCGAATTGCCTCGCTGCGACCTCTGCAAATTGACGGCTCGTGCCGCAAAAGGGCCAAAACAAAATAATTACATCAATGACCCAGGGACCAGCCAGGGACCAACCAACCCGAGAGCTAGAGCCTAACCGAACTGAAGCTGAAGCTGAAACTCAAAGTCAAACTCAAACCGAGACTGAGGCATGCAAATAACAAGCTAATGATGTAAGAACATAAACGCTGACCAAATTGTCAGCGACAGGCAGCAACAGTTCACTTGGATTAATGGTCACGCCCCCACTGCCACTCCCACAGCAACACACAGCAACACACACTCTCCGGTGCAACCTCCTGCAGCCGTTGGACGCGCGGTGGAATCGCGAACGAGCCGCCGGCACGCGGGCAGCCATCGGCGGACATCATGCAGCGATTTCTGATTAGATGACAAAGCGAAAAAACAACAGAAAAAAACAACAGCAAAAAACAAAAGCAAACAAGGAGACCATTAAAACGCCAAAAGGCAAATCGGCACACAAATATCAGTCACCCGAAGGGTAGTCGAAGCCAGGGATACCCTGCAAGTGGGCAAAAGGAACCTTCTATGCAGCTACTTGCAGCTGCAGTTTAAAAGGACATTCGATGTGCATACATATGTATGTGTCTCGTTCGATCCATCACTCCCTGGACGATGTACGGTATCAAACAATACCATTGGCTCCCGCTTAACTTTTTCTCTGGATGATTTCGATGCTTGGTGGTGGGGAAGGGGAGCAAGTGAGACTTGCTTTCCAGTTATTAACTGGGCTGACAGCCCAGCCGTGGGGCGTGGCAACTTAACCGTCTCTCGGCCTGGCCCGGCCTGGCCATGTCATGCGTCGACATGTTTTTAATTTTCCGTCAGCGACAACCAAAACCGAAATCTAAATGTAAACCCCCACCATCTGGTTCTGGATGGATCCGAATCTGAATCTGATGTTGACTCGGACATGGAGCGTAGTGCAGGGGCGGAATGGGGACACTGCATTGCTGGACAGCGCAGGCTCTTTGCAGATCGATGGCTGGCTGATTGGGCTTATCTTATCATCGGGGCTAATCATCATCCCCATCCTCCTCGTGAGCGGCAATCGTATCAAAGGACTTGACTTTTACGGCGATGCCATTTAAACAAAGGACACGCACAAAGGACACGCGCCCAAAGGACTCGCTCTCATGGCAGGGAAGGGGTTGGAAAGCCCGAACGGGTCCCTGATCCGACTTAGTGGTTGAGTAAGAGGGCAGGAGACGTTAGCTGGCTAATAGGATGAATATTTTTAAATACTTAGACAACAATCCGCAGTAATTCTCCCACAGGGACGACCATTGACTTGGAGAGTTCTCATCAAAGGAATAGTACTCGCATTTTCCTTTACTTGTGTATTTGTGTATATTTCTTGGAGCAACATCTTCCAATTACGAAAGTATCGCATGTCCCACATCCAGCGCCAAGCAACTACCGACAGAGCTCCTGTTCAACAGCCACTTTGCTAGTATATAACTTACTACTTAGTAGTTGTTACTGCTCGTGCATGTGTATTTATATATTTATATTTATATCCATGGCGATATCAGGCTGGGAACTTTGAGTGCTTTGCGTACTTCTCCTTTTGTCCATCGGCGATCTTGACCACAGAATCTTTTCACTTCCTTGTGGCACAGTTTCCCAGCAGTTATCAAAGGTTCCATCCACTGGCTCTGACATAACGTACACATATGATATAATGGTATACACATGTGTGTATATTTCTATATTCTGGGTGATATCAGTTGAAAGCTTATCGCTGGCAGCTCGGTGTTCGGTGGCGTTCGTTCCCACAGAGTCGTGGCTTTGTTTTGTTCCCATCGAAAAAGGTTCTTGCAGCACTACGATAACTCAGCTCCCAGCTGGGGCTAGGTTTATATCGGACTCTGTGGATTGCTCATAGCTGTGCGAATTGATTCAGATACTAATTTAGACATGCTTATGGCACATAGTGTGTGCTGCGTACTACATACAGAAGAAGTATTAATATTAATAGATATGCTCGGGTGCTTAGAGTGCGTGAGTAAGTAGATGAGTCGCGGATCGGATGGTGAGCATTGTTCGAGTGCTCTGACTGACTGCAGCTCTGATGATGACTAATTTGGAGTCGGATTCCATTCCCTTGCAACACACCGATCCCCAATGCCCAATGCCCAATCCAATCGCCATCTCCGACTCCAGCTTTAGCTACAGTTCCAGTTCCAGTTCCATCCCTATCCCTATCCCATTGTTAGGTTTGGTTTGGTTTGGTTTGCCCATTATGGTTATTATCGCTCTCATTTCGGGGTCTTTAGAGGCTCTCGTAGCCTGATATTTTATCATTATTCCAAAGACAAAAGCCAGCCCCAAAGGCAGCAATAACATTTTCATATTACTCTAACGAACTTTTACATACGACTTGGGCAATTGGAGATTTGGAGATGGAGAGCTGGATAGATGGATGGATGGATAGATGGAGAGCTGGAGAGCTGGAGAGCAGCTTGCTCCAGTTTGCTCTCATTTGAAAAATTACCCCAAAAGAGGAGCTCGCGCTTGAGGCCTATTTAACAGTTTATTTCTTTCTTCTTCTGCTGCCTTTGATTAATTTGCGTTCACATTTCGATAGATCTTCTTTGAGCTGAGCTGAGCTGAGCTGTGCTGAGCTGAACAGACACGCACGGCAACGATTTCGGTTTCAGTTATCCAATTCTTACGGCGTAATGAAGACATTTCGAAGACGGACCCAAAACGCTTTCTAACTGATGGCCAGCCATTTGGGGTAGCATCTGAGGCCTAAATACCCATTCAGGCAAATGCCTGACTGCGTCTCCTACTCCGCTCCGATTCCAACCCGAGCACTTCGTGGTTTCGTTTCGGATTTGACTTCGGTTAATGAACTTGCCCCCAGATATCAGATTGAGCGATCAAATCTTAAATTACTCGTACAGTCACAGATACAGAGCGGCAGGAAGAGAGAGAGAGAGGGAGAGAGAGAGGGAGAGAGAGAGGGATAGTTTGGGTGGATTCTTATTTGTCTTTTGTCCTTCACTGTTACCAATTGGAAATACTTGCCCAGGCAATACTTACATTGGGATGCATAGCTTCAGGAGCTGTCGATTATGTCGAATCCTGACAACTTTGCCCATCTATTTATGTATTTATATACATATCTACTATGTGCTATATGTGTGGTGCTATTGTTCCTGGCGTTCCCTCTCCCTCTCTGCCTATTGCTTGATCCAAAAACAGTTCCTTTGCGTGGGTGTGCGAGAGAGAGGAAGCGGCAGTTGGATGTGAATGTGGATGCGACTGAGGTTTCTGCGGTCAGCATGGATGGGTTGCTGCCACTCGGGACCTGCATCTGCAACAGCAGCAACAATGTCGCTTTTGTGGGTGTAATTATGAGCCTATGCTTCCATTTGTTTGTTTTTCGACTCACGGAAGAAACTGCACACACATCGGACTGCACAGACAGGCAGGCAATGTCAAAAAGTGCAGAAAGAAAATATTGGCGGAAAAAAAAAACGAAATTCATTTAATGCTTCCCACAATCGATACATTTTGTTGCTTTTGTTGGTCTCGCTTCAAACGCCGTCTAGTCGAGCGGCCATAAATAGTGCAAACATTGACCAAGCCCCGGCCGCAGCCCCAGCCCCAGCCCCAGCCTCAGCCACAGTCCCAGTCGCAGTCGCAGCCACAGCCCCTGCCCGGTAGCCACAATGTTGCCCCGAAACTGACTCTCCTGCTCTGGGGCGTGCGTGTGGCAGAGCGGGTGCGGAAGACAGGTTGCAACAGTTCTTCATTTTATGTCCCTGCCGCGAGTAACTTTGGCGGCAGCCATTAAGGCGGGATAAACCAAATTTATGTCAAGAGTTCAAACAAATTGCACCGCAGGCAGGCGGCCCGGCGAGACTTTCGGATGGGATGGGATGGGATGGGATGATGCCTGGGGATGCCCGAAGTGAGGAGTGCCCTGGAAAACTAAGCAGCTCCTGATATGAGATATGTTTGATAGTTAGACTTTCCCATCCCATATTAAATCCATAAACATACAAACATACCATTATGTATGTATGTATGTATTTATGACTGGATGTTTGTATGTATGTAGCCATGCAAGGGAATTCCACAGGCAAAATTGATGATAGCGCAAACAGGTCACAAATCAACATACACAGGAGCTGAGGGTCTTAAAGGGTAGGCAGCACACAAACACACACACACACACACACACACAAACACACACACACACACGCAGGAACACGGAACAAAAAGCGAGCCACGACGCGTGTTCGGTTCGACTTGGCTTGGTTACGGCCGGCCCGTTTTCGGGATGTTGGTCATTTGTGTGCTGCAAATTGATTCGGTAGCTGCCGCCCATTGAGGTCGTCGCATAAATCAGGCAGCGACGTTTAATATAGTACTTGACTGACTGCCGAACCCCCGCCCCCCCCCCATTCATATATTCATCTTTTTTCTCTTTCTGGTTGCCGATGCTGCTGCTGTTGGATGCTGCAGGGAAGAGCTTTACGCTGACAATCACGGTTGCAACGAGCCCGCCACAGGTGGCAACCTACGCCAAAGCCATCAAAGTCACCGTCGACGGACCCCGGGAGCCGCGCTCCAAGACAAGTAAGTACGAGTACGAGTACGAGTAGGACAGGGGTAGCATACATACATATGTATATGCACATGTGTATGTATGTATGTAATAGATGGGAAGTGGTAACATTGTTTTGGGCAATTAGCAATTATCACTTGCCACAACTATTCACAACAGAATAGAAAGGAAAGAAAACACAAACACAAACACAAACACAAACAAATGTGGCAAGGGAAAGGACTTAACGGGCTGCCACACCACGCCTCGCCACGCCACGCCACCCCGCAGCGTTTTGGGTTGCAACATATGTTATCCGGCTTGCGTGTGGGGCGGAGGTCGCCTTAGACAAGTGTCTAATCAATGTAAACGGATAAGCCGACCCGATCCGATCTGCTCAATTGGCCGGTAAACATCCTAAGTCCCTAATCCCCCCACACAGGCAGCCCGACCAGCCCGAACAGAAGGTTTGGTTTGGTTTGGTTTCGTTTCTTTCCATTCCATTCCATTCCATTCCACTTTGCACTTTGCACTTCTCTCCATGCTCGATGTACCTCTCCTCCTGTCGTCTGGATCGAGGATCGGATGACAGTCGATGGCAGCCATTTTTGCAGTCAGTCGGGAAGGTGTTTGAAAAGTGCAGCCGGTTTTAACCGACTGACTGAGTGACTGACTGGTCCCGCTCAAGAGGAGGGTGGGGGGCACTGACTGCCAGTTCAGGGGAGTTGCAGTGGCTGTGGCAGGGGCAGGGGGACAACGCTTCTGCCTCTTACGGTTTCTGAAAATTTTGCGGTTTTCAAAGAAAACCTTTTTTTCTTCTTCTTGCCTTTGTTTTTTGCGTATTGAGTTTTTAGTTCGTGTAATGCATATATGAATTAATTTTTTTCAGTCTTTTTATATTTTGTTAATGCATTTTTAAGTCTTCGCTGCATCGTTAATCGTATGCATGTACAGTGCACACTGCACACATACAGGGCTAGTGGGTAATAGTATATGTACCAGTATGTACTCATCCACATGGTATATACATATGTACATTGTACATACGCTTGGAAGGTACAGCTTGAGTTCACCTTGAGTTTGTGCTAATTGCGAAGACTTCGGTTCAGGGTAGGACGGACGTTGAGGGCCAAGCCAACAGAAAGGGGAATGGGGCAACGGAACAAGGCAAAATGGAGTCTCATTTCATTCCCCAGGAGACTCTCCTCGATCGGAAAATACTGAATCCGAGTTACCAAGATCTTTAAAGTGCCAAAAATACTTATGGCCAAGAGCCAAATTAAATAGAAGAAATTCACAAGATGGAGTTTGTACCTTAATATCCCTTCATACCCTTGATATCCGTTCAGTTGTCCTTGTGCTAGCTTTAACCACTTTGCATGTGCCATCACTTATCGAGGCGTAACCGTTACAATCGGCAGGTCCTACCGGCGGTCCACACTACCGCGCCCTCGGCCTGGGCCAGCGGCCCTACATTGACGGCTTCCCAAAGACGCTGCACGAGCTGGAGACGCTCCGGCGCTCGGCCAAAGTGGCGGCCAACGCGGCCACTGTGGCCTCGGCAGCCACAGCGGTGGCAGCGGCTGCAGCATCGAGCTCCACCCCCACAGGCGGTGCCATCGGAGGAGTGGGAGTGGCTGCCGGCAGCAGTGGCAGTGGCGCGGGTCTGGTGCAGCAACTGAGCAGCAATTACTCATCTCCGAATAGTACAATCAACTCGGATTGCCAGGTCTACAAGCCGAATGCGCCCCACGTCCAAGGTAAGCGCTCTTTATTCAAAAAATAAGTATGTACAGTGTACACAGACCATCCCCATCCGCATCCTTATTCCATCTTTAGCTTTTCTTGGGCCTTTGAATCGAAAATTGTTAGTGCGCTGAAAGCTGACCACGCATGGGATGGGTATATTATATATATTGATGTCTGTCTGACTGTCTGTCTGTCTGTCTGTCTGTCTGTGGCTCTGTCTGGGTATCTCTGTAGACTGGCACCAGGCGGCCTAAACGTTTTAATTGAGTTAATCAACCTGCCATTCACCCAATACTTCCCCAAAACCCTTCGTCCACCTCCATCTTCCCACTCTGCTGGGCCCAGCACTGATTGAAGTCTTCATCGCAGTGTATTTTCGGAACGTTTTCGTTGGCAGTCTGTCGCTAATTTATTTATTTTTTCAAAGCTCCGATTAAAAATAGTTCAGCGTTGTCGCTGTCCGCAGCTTGCTATATATAAATAATTATTTATATAATACCAGTATGTATCCCTATATCACATATCACACACCACATACCACATGCCACATGCCACATAAAAAGAATGCCAATTGAGAAGTTCAATGTTCAATGGCCCCCTCAAATGGTCAAAGGAAAAGCTTTTGGAGAGTCATCTCAAATGAAACCGTTAAACGGCACTCCAAACTCCTCGTAGCTTATCCGATTCCAATACATATCCCAAAAGTCCCAACTGAAAATGTCATAATTTTCCCACCTCAGGCTGCACAGCACTAACCACATGGCACGCTTTAATTCGCCAACCGCATGCTACGAATACGAACACTCTCTTTCGATATACATATGTATGTTTGATCGGCCCTCTACATTAAGCCAGCGAAAATTTGAAGAGCTTTAGAGGCCTGGCTCCCGTGTTTGAAACATTCGTCTGACTTACAATAAATGGAAAATTTCATTTGCGCTCATTTCGATTCGTTTATTCGATTTTGACATTGGCTTCATTTAATTTGCATTAATTTCGGTGTCGCTGTAAAAATGTACCAAAAATCGTAGGGTTTATGAGACACCGCACCGGGGGGAACATCGCCAGCAACTGGAACCGGCATCTGACTCACACATGAGTCAGTGGGCAGTCGGTGGCCAGTCAGTGGCCAGTCAGTGGCCAGGTTGAAACTAGACGAATCTGAAGCAGTAACTGTTGTGTTAAGCCCAGACTGGCAGCGCTTTGCTTATGCTAATTAATTTATAAATGTTTCTTCTTAAATACCCTCCCAAAGGGCCTAACAACTTTGGCCAAAGGCAAGCCAGCTCCCCGAGGGGCACTCTTCACTCAGTGGGTAAAACGTGGCATAGATCAGTTTTCGAGATGAGTTTAAAGTCGAATGTACCCTACGTATATTTCCCAAACGCATTTTGCATTTGATTTTCCATATTCCTATTGAATCAAACAACGGGTGGGGCTCTCCACGAATCTTCTAGGGTATTTCAGGCTTTCCCCCTTCTGACTTAAGTTGTCGATGCTTCATTGTTGGGGTAACTGGTTAAAGCCGAGGCGGGGGCCGTCGAAGCCGTCGAAGCCGTCGCAGCGAGTCAACGATACTGGCCAAATAAACGTAAATAAATTGTCAATACGGAATGACACATCGTCGTCGTCGTCGCCGTCGTCTTTCAATTAGTCAAAAGGCAATAGCAACAAATACAAATGCAATGCGATATGGTTATTTCTCTTTTAATTTTTGGAGTGATTTTTTGTTTTGTATTTCGATGAAGTGTCCGGAAATGCCCGAATCGCGATGAACGCGAGAAATCCAAGTTGAAGTCGGAATCGGAATCAAAGCGTCAATGGGGAAAAAAACTCTCGAACTTTTTGTTTTTGTTGTTGTTGTTGTTAACTCATAAATATTTAAATGTGGCGCTTAAGCTGTTAATTTACACAAAATATCAAAGCAAAAAAAAAGCTATCGAGTTCAGCGAGTGTCGGAGTGGGGGAGATTGGACAGAAAGATCCGAAAATTCAGCGGAAATCATTGCGAATTTCAAAGAAACCAGGATTGGATTATGAACGAATATATATACATACATACATATACATATGTTAGTTCGCTGAATGGATGAATGGGGGGAAGGGGTGTGAGTGCTATAAGCGTTTAATGATAATTGATGATAAGTGAGTGCGGGAATAGATAAGCCAAGAAACTTCGCAGGAAGAATGGCAATGGAACGAAGAGAGTGGCCCACAATTATCCATTCCATTCGGAACTCCGAACATTAGCCGCCAGAATGAAACAGTAAAATGGAACAGAGAGAATTGGCATATCCAAAAAAGGAATACTGGAATGGAATCGTGAATCGGTTCCTGTGGGAGCTGCCTGTCTGAGTCAGAGTAGGTGGCCATAAAAAGTATTTTAGCCCATTGACTGCGATCCACTTGCACAGCTTCCAAATCGTTTCTAATTGTTGGCAGAAGCGCTGGAGTATCGCACACCTGGACAGTTTGGAGAGGAGCTTCCTGCATCAGCAGCCTCCATCATCATTATGTGCATCATCTGTGCATCTGCCGCAAACTCACACTTGAGCTTTAGCTTTGGCTTTGGATTCGGCTTCGGCTTTTGCTCCTGCTCCTGCTCCGGCTGCTGCCTTCGTGTTTGCATTCATTAAATATTTTTGAGGCATCAATTCTGAGCCAAGGCGCAGGCGAAGGCGGAGGCGGGGTGTGAGCTGGGGGCTGGAACTGTGGCTGTGGCTGCAACTGGAACTGAGGCTTTTTTTCGGTGTACTCTAAGCCACAAATCAATCCAAATGCGGTTGCGCAGCTGTTGCAGCCGCAGCCACAGCCGCAGCCGCAGCCACAGAACCGACCGACGTGGGCACGATGCAAGATGCAAGATGCAGGCATCACTTGAGTGGGGCATGGGAGAGCGAAGTGAGGGGTTCCACACACCAACAACAATGTCACATATTGAAATGAAATCTTTTTGGCCCATAAAACAGCAACTGTGGCCAGCCACCAATGGCCGCAGTTGCCCCCCGCCTTACTGCCACACTGCGTCACACCGTTCTCTGCATTAAAGACTGAGAGTCCAATACCGAGAGTCCCGAGAGCCGAGAAACCGCAAACTCACTTCCGTTTCGTATCGCTGTTGTAGTTGGCTCTGCCGCCATTTTGCACAGCAGCAACACTTTTTTCGTTGGTTTTGTTTTCGTTGCAAGGGACAGGGACAGACGCACTTTAATTAAAATTATTTCAAGACTGAAGATCCTCGTCAGCTCCTCTTCTCTTCACTCTCCACTCTCCACTCGTCAGTTTCTTTCTCTGATTCTTATTCTTATTCTTCGTCTTTGTCTTTGTCTTTGTTTTGCCCAGTTTTGCTCCACAAGATGGAGACACTGTTCGATTCTTGTGCCTCCTTCTGGCTGCCTTCTGCCGTCTGCTGTGTTGCGGATGATTTTGGCCCATTTCGGAGGGTCGGTCGAGAGGAGACCGACCGCTCCAACGTTCCACCGCTGTGGTTTTTGTTCGGATGCATCCGCTGCAGGAAAGGAACCCTCCCGTCCCTCCCCCTGCGCCCAGTGAGCGGATACGAGTGTTTCGGGCGGGGTATATGGCAGGCAGGCAGGTGAAAATCGAAGATATCCGGTTGGTGCCGTGGGATCTGCTGGAGGAAGTGCAAGAGTACTCGCAAATGAAACATACAAAATAAGGGAAACAAAAAACGAAATTAGAGTTTGACTCAAGAGAATTCTCATTCCTATTGTTCCGCGCTTCTCCCCGGCTGGCTGCAGTCGCAGCCGCAGACAGTGCGTATACGCAATTAAAGGCCCGTACCTGGGCAGGTCCGGGATCAAGGTGCTCCCATGGCTGGCCTCCAACCCTGGGGCACATAATTCCACGTGCCAACAGAAAATTACACCGTCTGAACGGCACTGACCTCCTCTCTGCCAAGTGTATGCACCAACCCACCACTAACCCCTGTACACCATTCCCGGCCCCCCTCCACCGCCTTGCTAACTTGGCTTTCATCCTGTGCGTTTCGCTTCATTGCAACCTCTTTTGCCTAAGCTTGCGGTAGTGCCTCCTCCTCCTCCTCCTCCTCCTCCTCCCCATGCCTACTGCCTACTGTTGCTGCTACTGTTGTTGCAACGCAATTTGTGGCTTAATTGAAACATTAAAATGTGATAAGTGCCGGGTGAAAAGTTGCATGCAACTGCCAATTTTGATACTACCTTTCATTAGTCGCTGGCCTCCGCCCAACTGGGACATGGCGCATTTATTCGTGGTGCGTGAGCTCCGTTTTGGTATGCTGACAGTTCCAATCCTTCGATATTGTTCCTACAAATATTGTAAGTTCCTTTTAAAGATCTTCGCAATAAATTATGTACTTTATCTCATGGTTTGCTGTTCACTGTTTTCACCTGAATGTGGGATGGAGAGTCCCCCAGCTGTATTAGCAGTCTAACCGAACCGAACCCAACCCAACCCTACCCTTTCCTTGCCTTTCGGTCTCTTAAGGTCTCTTCTACCTGAAAACTGATTTACTTTGAGTTAATTTTGCTTCTGATTTTCGTTGATATCTTTCCTATCATTTGTCGTTTTTAATGAATTTGATTAATTAAGCGACATTTTTGGCGCTACCTTTTTTGGACTTCGCTGGAAAAGTGTTTGCCATGGGGGTGGGGAGGGGAGGGGAGGGACTGCATAATTAATCAAAATATGAGAGCAAAGATTGCCGGCAAGCAGGATGGGGGAGTGAGGAGTGTGGATAGAGGAATGGAGGCATGGCATCATGGCATCATGTCGCCCGCTGTTATGGTGCGTTGTTAGGCAACGTCGCCAGAGTCTTGGAATTTTCTTTCGCCTGTCGCCGCTTCCCTGTCAATGTTCCTAAAGCCATTGGCATGCAATGCCAGCCCCCAACCCCCAAGGGGTTGGAAGGGGGTACGAGTACAGGTGTACCCGAGGACCTGCAGAAGGTGGGGGCGGTGGGGCCGCCAAGGACACCACCACACATGTGCCACGCTACGGGGCATGTCCCCATCGATGTCGTTGCCATGCATATGAGATGATGTTTTCAATTAAACCCTCGGCCACGCCCAAGTGTGCAACTGACAAGTTGGAAAATTTCACTAGCTGGCGGCTGGGGGCATTCAAGGGTTAATTGGCCTCCAGCTGGCAAATTGTCGCTGTCTCCCTCTCCCTCTCTCTCACCCTCTCTCTCTTCGGTTCTTACTAACTCTACCTCCTCTTTTTCTCTCTGTCTCTCTGCAGAAACCGATCTAATGGGCGCCGGGGAATGGACGGGATCCTCGAGCTCCGCAGCCGCCTACTACCACAGCCATGCCCACCACCCACACGCGCACCACCCGCACGCCCACCACGCCCATGCCCATGCCCACGCCCACGCGCATCACCTGCAGCACCAGATCGCCCTGCCACCGCCTCCACCGCCGCCGGCAGCGGCTCCAGTGACCAACGGCACGGGCGGCATGGGCGTGGGCATGGGAGTCGGAATGGGCATGGGTGTGGGTGTGGGGGTGGGGATGAGCATGAACCACTACGGAAGCGGCTACGAGACGACCAGCTCCCTGGACGCCGGTAACTACGCCCACCTGCCCGCCGTCCTGCCCGAAATGCACGGCCACGGCTTCGCGACGGATCCCTACCAGACCGCTGGCGGGTACGGAGCGGGCGCTGGGGCAGCCAAGTCCGACCTGGAAAACCTTGGCGGGGGCTATGGGGCGGGGGGCTACAACAATGCGGCCGCCTGGTCGAACGGCTACAACAACTATCAGTACGGCAGCTGCTCAGCCTCGGCGCAGTACGGCGGCACGGGGGGTCATGCTGCTGCCCCGCCGCCGCCACCACCCCCGCCCGTGGTGCTCTACCCGCAACTGTACTCGACCGTCAACCAGAACCAGATCCACCTGCACCTGCACAGCAGCGAGAAGCTGGAGCAGTACCTGGGCAGTGCCAGCGACCAGCAGCTGACCATCAGCTCCCTGACCGGCAGCCGCTCCAGCATCGAGATCGGGCTGGGTGGAGCCGGTGGCGGCCTTGTGGGTCTCACCGGCGAGCAGGAACAGCACCAGCAGCTCCAGCAGACGCAGGAGCAGTCTTCGGAGGCCTCCAACCAAAGCTACCATCTCAGCCATCACAATCAGCATCCCCACCAGCAGCAGGCGGAGCAGGTGCACGTGCAGCAACAGCAACAGCAGCAGCAGCAAAGTGAGGGGGTGGGTGTGGGTGTGGGCGTGGGCGTGGGCGTTGATGCACCGCGGGACGAGGATGTGGGCGATCTCACACAGGTATGGCGACCCTATTGACCCAACCGGATAGCGGTGCCACTGCCAGCAAGGCCGCCTCCGCCGCGAGCCTTTCTCCACATCGAGCTGAACTGAAGTCCAAGAAAACGGGTCGGGACGGGACGGGACCCATGAGCTGGAGCTGGAACTGGAGCTGGAACTGGAACTGGAGCTGGTCCTACCAGAACAACCAGAAGAACTGTACAATTTTTTTTGTTTTTTTTTTTACTCTAGGGATAAGTACGAGTATATGACGAGTATATGTATGTATGTATCTGTAACTGTAAGCTGTACATACTTCATAAACGGAAGACTAAGGGTAAAAGATATGGGGATACATGTAGAGATGAGGAGATGCCCTTCTCCATCCCTAGCTTCTAGTGCACCCACGACGGAAACAATTTTTTTTGCTAGCCCTAAGCCTAGACATATGTACATATGTCATATGTACAATTATCTTTAAATCTATGTATGTATGTACACATTTTTTTTCTGTTACTTTTTGTGTGTGAATCTGCAAAGCGATGCGAGAAGATTCGAACGATTCCATGCGAAGATGGAGAGAAGACTACAAATAAAGTTATCGTATTTATTTAAATGCCTTGCCACAGAGTCTTCCCCGCTTGTCCACCAATTCACCAATTCAATCTACATAGGTGTCAATTTATTTCGCAATCATTTCAGATGGTGTTCCATAGATGCAATTTGAAAGGAACAATATATAGTGTGCACTTTTCACTCCGTTTTCACTGCCTAGTTTCGAGAGTAAAAAGAGAAAACTTTGGGCACTTATGCAAAAATATTTGCCAACCACAAGCGAAATGCAGAAAACACGGCAGTACGACCAAAAAAAAGAATGTTAGCTGGTGCATTGAAAAGCACACACAACCATCGCTTAATTATGCGCATATTTTAGATTAGAAGCGGCACAGCAACGGAAACAATTGCAAATTGTTGAACAACAAACAACAACAAAAACAAAAAAAAAATCATATATTTTCGGTGGGGCGAAACCTTACAAGTGTGAGTGTAAATAATAAATTAAAAATTATTGCAAAACAGAACCACAAAGTGGGCACAGGCACAGAAGAAGGCATATCGAGCCAACCCTTCCCCTTCCCCTTCCGTCACTTCGCCATTCGGATGGTTCTCTGGCGGGATGATCCGATCTCGGAGCTCTAGTTCCATTTTCGCCTCTTGCGGTCGTCCCATGGCATAAATAAACAACGAACACCCCACCCCTCCGGCAGAAGCTCTCTGTGTAGTACGAGTAGGTGCCGCCATTGTTGCTGCCAATGCTGCAATGCTGCAATGCTGCAACCCAGACCAAGACAAGTCAGCCAAGTGTTAAATTGCAAAAGACAGTTCCATTGTCGGCACAAGAGTTGGCTGGCGAATTGCGAAATGGAAACCCTAGACAGGAGAGTCGATCCGGGTCGTGCCGTGCCGTGCCGTGCCGAGTCGAGCCGATAATCTATAACCTATAGTGCGGCCCATTAGAGAAGCCGGATCCAGGCAAGCGTTAAAGATCTCCGCTCTCCCACTCTGTCCTCGGTCCATAGCATATGTAGAAGCCCGACACGCGTTCCAGCGCCACAATGTTCCAGCGTAAGTGATCCACTCCACACTCCATACTCCACACTGCAGACTCCAGCATCTAGTGTCTTGCGGTGGGCCAGAACAAAGGCCCAAGGCCCGGGCAGAGGAGCTTTGTCGCAGTTTATGATGAGCGACTTGAGTTACCATTAGCCTAGCCCCGAAGACGCAGCCGAAGCCTGATCCAGCTCATGGGCTAATTAACTCTGCCTCAGAGCTAACACTGGACCTGGATGGTGGACGGAGTTGAAACTGGAACTGTGGGGAGTGCTGTAGTGCTGGAGCTCAGCTTGCAGCTACCGTGGGGATGAGATGTCTCTTGGCTCTGATGCTTGGGTGGCCCTGTCGAGTGCTTTGAAGGCAGCAGCAGCATGTGATATTAAAGGTTGTTCATGAATGGATCAGCTCATGAATAGAGAGACTAATTAAGAGCAAAACAAGCAACGGGTATAAACCTGAACAACTGTTGAGTTAATTTTTTACTTAAATGCTTGTCAATAAAGCAGCTCGGGGTAACAGTCGAGATCTACATAGGCCCGTTATAGGCTAACTATGTATAACTATAGGCTAGTTATAGGTAACTTCTGTAGGATGCGCCTAGCAAGGCTCCTCCTCGACATTGCCATGCGTTCCTTTTTCGTCTTTCCTCTCACTCTGACTCTCCCTCTCCCTACCTTTCATAATGTTTTCCATTCATTAGCTTTTCTGCCAAAAAGTGGACCGAAACAGAAATTAGTTGAAAAGTTCCTCTCAAAACTTTCTGTCGTTTCTCTCCCCTTCCTTCCCATAGACCCCATCCATCTCGCCCTCTCTCACCAACTACCTACATATCTATACTTGGGTCCGTTTAAGTAGCGTAACGGAATAAGCCCAAATAATGAAAGAAACGAACGGCGAAGCAGCAAGCAGCAAACAGCGAGAAGAGGAGAGGAGAGCGAAGGTTGAGTTACTTGCCATCTCACTCTGCCACGCGCCAGTCAGGTTGGTTAGTTGGCTGCCGACGAGGAGGGAGCGAATGTTTTAAGCAGGCACAAGCACGAATGTAAATGTAACTGTAACTGTAACTGTAGGGGAATATGTACCGCCTAACTGTAACTGTGCCACTTTGAGCAGGAATTTTGCTACATTTACACTCCCCCGCCTGTTCCCTCCTGCTCCACCCCCACCAGAAAACACTCGACTAAAAACCAGTTTAAATACATTTTTTGTTTTATGATTTTCTGGTGCGTGTTTTTAACAAATAAACCAAAAATTAAACTGAGGAAAACCGACAGACAGCAGCAGCAACAATAGCGGGAACACACTCGTACATACATACATATGTACACAACAAGAGAGCGACGTCCGTCTCGGGATGTCTAAGCGCCACCCACAATTGTGCGCAGCCAACAAGTACAAACACAACAAACACAACAAAAGAAAACTGAAAAATAGAGAAAGAAGTAAACCAACAAACGACAATAAAAACGAAGCCGACAACGAGCGCCGCAAAGGTACCACCCACCGTAAAAGAGAGCGAGTCTGCATCCGAGCTGAAAGAGAGAACCATCAAAGAGAGCAGAACCCAGAGACAGTGCGCTGACAAAGAGCAAGCAAAGCAACGCTCAGTTGTATCCCAGGTGGGCTGCTGTACACTCTTTACCAACGGAATATCTAACCACCAGAAAGATAACTAATTTGAGAGGCCATAAGGCAAACAAGTAAGTACCGTACATATTCCACATCAGCATTAAAGGCCAAATACTTACTTTTCTGTAGATCCATCTCTCCGCCTTTTGACGCTCAGTTCACAGAGACTACGAGAGAATAGGAAATCGGATTTTGTCTACAGACAAGCATTGTACGGGGAGGTATTAGGCCATTGATGCTGATATATGTAGGTATGTAGAGGCATATATTTTATACTATATATAGCCAGGTACTTCTTGGGTACCGGGTTCAATGATAGATATATTGAATTATCCGCTTTTGAACTACCTAAAACCGGTAGAACCGTTAACTCGTCTCAGCTACATGTGCCGAGCTCTTTTCTCTCTCTCTCGCTCGCTCGCTCTGTTTCCCTTAACCACTTGACCCGTTCTCTTCCTCAACGGCGCTCTCGCTTACTGTTTTATATTCAGCATACGCTTATAACGCTCTCTTAAAGTGTGGCTTTTGTCAGCAAAGTTCCGTTGAAAAGCGAAATGATTCATTGGATCGCGGAGTATTTGGTCGATTTTTGGATTAGTTACAGCCAACCCCGATATACATATGTACATGTATATATGTCCATGTTTATATGTATGTACGTGATCCTGCCTTTGATCAGCTGGTCCTCTGCAATACTGGATGCTCTCGGATATGCAGATTGCTTGTTCGTCATCTGAGTGATCGGCTGAGCTGGCCGTGCGGCGCACGAGTATTATTAATAAATATCGTATTCAACTGACTTGTTTAACCCAGATTGAGGGCTTTTCCTATCACCAGACCCATTAGTGACACTCACTGGGGCAGATCTATGACGTATGCTCTGGCCATGCCACCGCGTTGAGGGAGCACCCCGCGTATGAGTGACGTGACCCAGACTAACCCAGACTTAGGGTCTCTAACCTTGCTTTACTGCGGCTGGATAGATTGGGCCATGGAGGTCGGGAGTGCCTCTGCACCCCTCCCACTCATTAGCCTGTCAAAGCTGGCGGCACGCATGCCGACCGTTCGGCCATTTGGCCAAATTTTTCGACTACCACTGCAGTGGTCGATCTCCGCACATATTTGTGCCCTGGTCCTTGGAACACCTGGACCGGCCCCATGTCCATGTCCAGGCTTCGATTTCGTATGTAAATTTTTGTGCCGCCTAATTTGCCTTTTTGACTTTTTGTTGGGCAGCAAATAAAAATTAGTTGCAACAACAGAAAAAAAACACTGGCACATAGAGCGTCTGGCAGAAGGGAAGCCTCGGCCCGGCAGACAACAGGGCGGTTGGTGGTAGAAGGAGGGGCCAAGGCGGGGCATGCCACGACGCGACTAATGTGTTGGCATGTGTCAGACACGCATCAAACACAGCGACAGCGCACAACAACAAAAAAAAACAAAATGCGCCAGCATCCCAAAACAGGATGAGATGAAATTTACACAGGAATGGATTTGGGAATGGATTGGCATGGCACGCGGAATCACAGGGAATAGGTCGGATCGAGATAGCACCGTGATTAGTGCGGAATGGATTGGGATGGAATGCGAACTGGACTGAGGGGAACTGCAAAACGGAATAAGTAAACGGCATGTAAGATACACCAAAAAGCTGAGATGGAAATCTACAAAATGTACTTTGGGATTGCATT